AAAAGATATTCCTATGTCAATCATCTGTATTTACAAAAAAAAAAAAAAAAAAAACAAAGGAATTGAAGAGGTGCCAAGTATTAATATGCTGAGCAATTGAGAGGATGTCAAAATTGAGCTAAATTATGCAAAATTAATAGTATGAATTTTAATATACAAAATATTTATTATTTTTGTATTATAATAAAAAAATATGTGCAATTAATTGACAATTACAAATTGATCAAGGTTCAAAATTTTATATTGTGAATAAACATAACAGAATAAATAATAAAATAAGTGAATTATCAAAAATAATCTTTAAGTATACATATTTACTTTAATTTCTTAAGGTTATTTGTAATTTTATATTTTTGTATTAAGCATATATATAATAGGTTTTTGGGTACATATTATAATATTATATTTTTGGATAAAAAAGAATTATATTTTTCATTAATAAAAAATTGACACTTTTAGCTAGTTTGTTGTTATAGCATTAATTAATAAATAATTTTACTTTAATTATTGTTTTGTAATTTTTGTTAAAAAATATTATCAATTTTTTAAGAAAATAATTCATCCTTATATTTAAAATATATATATAAACGTGATAGGGTGGTGACATTTAGAGAAGCAAGGGAAGGGTCTAGTTTTGATCAAAGTTAGAAAAATTTTATATACATATATTTACGCGGTCATGCTTTTGGTAAGCTATTCACTTAATCAACTTCATAGCTCTATCTTTGCTTTCAATTTTCAATGAAACAATTTCAGAAAGTTGAAAAAAAAAATTTGTTTTTGACTTTTTTTGTTTAATAGCTTTTACTTATTCTTTCTATTGGAAATGGTTTTGAAGAGCTTTTAAGATTTAATTTTTTATTTTTATTTTTATTTATTGTATCTTTTCTTATAAATAATGAAGTAGATTTTTTTACATTAATTTTATAAATGAGAATGAAGGGAAAATGTCACGAAAGTTATTACCATATGTTGCCGGTTGCATCTTAAAAGTAAAGATGACATAAATGAATGAATGATCAAGTGTTGAAAGATCAATTGAAGAAGTTACAGCACTTAGCATTTCTTAATTATTAAAAAAAATTAAAACCAAAAGGATTGAAAAAATAATTCTTGTTATTTATATTTGAATAATGATTTTTTTTTATAAATTAAGAAATTGAGAAATGAATTTTATAAATATCAAAAAAATTATCTCAAATCTTAATAAATAATTTCATTATTTAAAGTAAATGAAAAAAGTGCTAACAATATTTACAGATATTAAATACAATACTTTATATTTTTAATTTAATTTTTTTAAATAAAAAATAAAAAAAAAGAAAAGAAAAAATATATACATTTTTATAGTAAAAAATATATAAATTGATTAATATAAGTATACAACTTATATATTATTTCTTTTTTACAGTAAATTCTATATAATATTTGATTAGACGAATAAATAATTATGTAATTTATTAATAGAATATAAAATTTCTAATTTTAATGATTAAAAAATTTTAAATAAAAAAAAAGAAAAATATTTGGTTAGAGGGACAACTAAAAACAGAAATATAATATGGGCTTGAAACCCATTTTATTGATGTAGCAAAAAAAAAAACCTATTAAACATAGGCTTGATCGGTTATTGTAGTGGGACAGCCATAAAATGAAAAAAAACCTCGAAAAGCTTTAACTCGTAATCCAGTTAGGAATCAGTATCATTAATTTATTTTGTCGTGTATTTTTATTCTTTTGTTATGAAATTGTTTAGTTTAATTCTTACAATCATGGTATATGATAAAGAATTTGAAACTTCATTTATGATGTTGAAAATGATGATAAAATTTTCCCCTATTTAATAAAACAAAATAAATAAAATTGTTGTTAATAGAGTATGGAATTTTTAATTTTAACAATTAGAATTTAATTTTTGACATTTTTAAATATAAAAAAATAAAATTATTTAGTAAAGGTTAATATTTACATATACTTGAAAACTTATTTTCGAACCTTTAAAATTTTGAATTTCATATATATAGAGAATAAAAAATAAAAAAACTTTAATTTTATGTCAATGTATTGGGTTAGCATTGTTTTTGCTTTTTTTAATACTTTTATTTGGGAGTATTTTGTTTTACTTGACAAGCAGTTTGGTTGGAAATAATAATCGTAGTAGAATCTCAGTGAATTAAAGTAGCATTTATTTGGGTTGTTAAAGTACTTAAAGGAAGATGTTTAATAAGTCAACAAGTCAATGTCATGGGAATTTAAGGCTTTGGAAAAACAGGGAAACAGGGACAGGAGAAAACATATTGAAGGTTCAAATTATCAAAATTATTGATTTGATTGATTCAAATCAGCTTTAGAAAAATCATATTCGAATTTATTGAATCGAAAATTGATAGTATTTTTATTCGATAAAACATAATAAATAAAAAATTAATCAAATAAAATTGAATTGGTGTTAGAATCGATTTTAAATATTAATTTAATATTTAAATTATTTAAAATTTTTTTATAAATGGTGAAATTCGAATCTTTAATATTTATTTTGACGTATTATTAAATCAAATACATGTTTTTGTTGAGGAATGATTACATTTATTATTTACTCAATAGTAAAATCAAGCGTTCAATACTAAAATGTTCTAAATCGATTGAATCAGCAATCAAACCCTCAACCAATTCAACTTTGGATACGATTTTGTAAAAAAATTGATTTAAACTCAGTCTAGTTGTTGCTTGTTAAATCCCTTCTCAAAAGTTAAGGTTTAAAGTTGAAAGTTTTTTCTTCTCTCACATAAGCAATTGTCTTTAGCAGGAGCTGGGTTGAAAGCAACTGCATCCCTACTCCATAGTTTAAGTTGAAGAATGTAAAATTTTTTTAACCTTTTTTTGGGGTTTTCTGTAAAGGTTATGACTTATGACAAATTCAAAAGTGTGAGATGTTGTTTATGTGTTGCTAGCTGTAACCGTGTAACTAAACCGATATGTCTTTGACACAGTTGCTTTTGCCTTGCTCCTTTGGTTATACTAATTCATAAAATTTTATTTTGCTTTGAAAAATATTATTAGTAACTTAATTTTCTAATTAATTATTTTGACCACATAACATTTTAAATTTGAAAAAGAAATTTATTTTCTTGCCCTTTCAACCTTATAATTCAAAATTGGGAAAAACCTTTGATTGATCACGAGAGGCTAAATTTTGAAAATATATATAGTTCTTCAATTATATTATATATAGTTTATTAAGATATTTTTAAGAAAAAATAAAAATTTATCAAACCACCAGTAATATGTTTTATTAATAAAATGTTAAACTATTTTAAAAAAATATTGAAGTATTTAAAAAAAATGTTGAATTCTTAATTTTAATAATCAAAATTTAATTTTTATAATTTTAAGTAGAAAAAGAAATCCCACCAACCCAAATCCATATTTCCCATTTTGTTCTAATCGCATTACTTTTTGAATATTTCCTACCCTTTGCTTGGACCCCAACAAAAAGGTAGTCTTGGTAGCGACCGGGATGATCATTTCCATCTCTCATTCCCAAATTCGCTTTCCAAATACTTCAAACTTTCACATTCTACTTATTCAACAGTCTTAATCTGAAATCTTGTGTTTTTGGTTTTAAATTTCTGATGAACAAATCAACTGATAATTAATAATTAATTAATCTACCTAGCTAGAAAGAGATTGTGTCATCATAATACTATTTGGAATAACTATATAATAAAATCTAATAAATAAAAAGACATGAGAAAGCATTAACAAGAACATGATCAGAGATAGAAATCTGACTTCAAATGAATTAGCAATTAATGAGAAAATTATTTGCTAAGAGCCTAAGATTAAGTTGAGCAAATTAAAATTTGATTTGACATTCGTAAATATTATGAAAAACAATGAAAAAAAAAGGTTCTTATGTATATATTAAAATTTCTTTCGTAAAGAACAAATCGCTGTATGCTTTGCGTTTAAACTTGCATTGGATGCTTCTATGACTAACAGTTTGGGTGGGTATTGAAAACGAATGGCCTCTCGCTCGATTTGTCGGCAGGTTTTTCCCTGGATATATAAATATATTTACAATAAATTGAAAATAATCATCAGAACGGATATTTGAGTATATATGTTCAAAACAAGTTGACATGAACACCTTACTTTTGTACATAATCTTTGGTGATGTTTTTCAACCATTTTTTTTTAACAAGGAAAGTTGGGCTCTCTTAATAGATAAGTAATCAATAAAAAAAACAATATTAATTGTTTTGCATGACCAAAAATTTAAAGCAAAATCTCAGACTGACATGTATATGAACAAATTAAAATAAGAAGGGAAATAGAAATGTACCATACATGCAAACTTGCAATGTAGCTGGTAGGTTATATTCGACTTAAAGAGGTTGAGCATTGACTTCATATTTTGACATTTTAACAATAATTTAAGACAGGACTGTCGTTGATAGGTTCAATGTTTCATTCTAGTAAATGATCAACATTGTTTAAAATTTTAATTATATTAATAAGCAAATAAATTCCTTAATTTCTAACTGGTCATCTGAAAGATGATTAATTTGGGCTTAATTAAAATTCCATTTTCCTCATAAACATATAAGATATTCGGACATAGTGACGTCTTAATAGCACAAAAATTGGGTAAAACAAACACAATGTAATAAAAAAATATAGAAAAGTTGGATATGCTTCCAATAGATCACATCTATCAAAAAAAAATATATTTTGTTTTGATTGGATATGTAATATCATATAAAATATCGAACGACATAAATTTAACAACGTAGTTTTTTCATAATTTGTTTCGAAATAAGTATAATATGCAACTTTGAATGGTCAATTATATCCTTTATGAAATTGGCAAACTTTAAGAATGTAAAATTCTTCTTTTGTGGAAGGAATATCCTAGACAGGGCAATTTTCTACCTTTGAAACTTTGATACCAAAGGAAAAAAAAAATTACCAAAGAAATTAAACATAGCATATGGATTATGGACACCTCATTGATTTGAAGTATATATGTGCAAGTTTTTCTCAATCTTTTTTTAACTTTTTTTCTTTCTATTTTTAACTATTGATATGCTTAGCTAATTATCGAGATGGACTAGGCAAACAACTAGGCATAGGGATGCTACACCTATCCCTTTCAACGTTCAAACTCAAGGCCTTGTGAGTATACAATTGTTTCACATTTGATCTTTGATCATGAAGCAACTTCACTAAACTTCTCTTGGCATTTGACCTAAATGGGCAATTAGATGACAAGAATCCATCCACCAAATGTAGGTAAGCCTCCAAATCATGACAACATGCCACATCAGCATTCGGCTTTAAGTAGGGTGACATCTTAGTATCGACCCGTAGTTCTACTCCAACATGGGAATATGCCCATAGATTATTGTTATCAAGCATATTAAATACGCTCACAAAACTTTCATTTCTTTGTTCTTCTCGTTGATCTTCTTCTTGTTGTTGGTGTTTCGATCCTTCGCCGTTAATAAATACACCCGGAACCCTAGTGATCAAATCTTGATTGTTCACAATTCGTAACACTTTAACATTTTTTTCATTAAGTCGCTGGACGAAACCTTTATTACCAACTCGAGGCCCTCCGAAAGAAAAAACAGCGATTGGCGGCACTTGAGGCGCACATGAACTTATTTCATCGGCAACTAAAAGTGATAATGCTGCACCAAGGCTATGCCCTGTGATTGTAATGCTAAGGCTCTCACCTTTGTACATCTCAATCAACCTTTGCACTTCTTCAACCACTGATTCAGCCAAGCTAGGCACGTGAGCGCCCGGTGTTTTGTGTAAGCTCAAGAACCCACATTCAACCTTTTGGGTTGGGTGATCCGATTCAGGAATCTGAACCAGTTGGGCTCTAAAATTTTCAGCCCATTCCAAGCACGTAGAGGTTCCCCGTAAAGCAATAACAATATCTCTCCTTCCCATGCGTTGTATCTCCCTTCTGTCATCACAAACCGCTACGAATCCGATCCAACTAGACCGTTGGGTCATCCACCCGAGATTGGGAGCCAAGTCGTCTACCCACTTCGGTAACCGGACAGACGAGGTGGCGTAAAGACTTTTGGTCACCTTGTAAGACCTATCAGGCAACGCCACGTGCCTTGGTAAAGGAGCCTCGTCGGTTGACATGGCGGGGTTGGAATGAAAACCATGGTAGGCAGCTTGAACAAATTCCCCATATCTAACCACTTCTCGCCTTAGATTTTCATCGAGCGGGTCAAGCAAACCTGACCAATCATTGCAACCGTGGTACTCTCTCCAACGAGAAGCAAGGTTGTTCCTCGGTGAATATTCCATGGTTTTCGATAAAAGCCTCTGAAGCCTATTTAAATGACGTGGGGACATCTCTTCAGCGGCTTTTTCAGGCCAAATCCTGGAAAGATTAAGCCCTTCGAGTAAAACCTTTCCTTTGTTTTCGATTGATCCATTCGTGGGGGCTTTGATAACTTGTTCTTGGTCGGCTTGGTTCGTTTTCTGGAGGAGTTTTTCGAGGTTGGAAAGGTGTTGCCGAGTCAATTCAGTCGATGATGATGCTGATGAAACAGGCTTTTGAGAAGATGCATGAGGTTTTGTTAAAGGGTTTAGAGGTGATTTTTCGCACTTGAAACTTGCCCGTCTGGCTTGAAAGACGTGCAAGTTTTGAGCGGGAAGAGTCGAGCTGATGCCGATCTGCATGGAGAGGAGTCAGAAAAGGAAAAGGGAGAGAGCAAAGAAAAAGTCAATGAAGATAAAAGAGATGATGAAAAGATAGAGCTTAAACAGCAAAGTTTAGACAAGTGATATTGAAGAGATTAGACATATATGGTATTTATAGAACAACATTTCCAATGAATACCAACTTTATTCCATAATTACATAAAGAACCTTATTGTCAAACTATGGCAATACTGAAAACATTAGGTGTTTTATGGGTTAATGGATGTTCGCAGGATGAGATGGAGAAAGATTGACAATTTCTGTTTAACCCCCCTTGGGTTCACGAAAAGTCTGTGATCAATGAGAAGATGGAGTTAAGCTTTTTGGAGTTGAATTGACTGAAAGGACCCTTGGATCTGGCTTTTGTATTGATGAATGAATGAATTTTCAAATTTTCAGTTTGTGCCCTTTTCTCACTTTTTATGTTGGTTTGGTTGACAAGAATTGTACTTTTGTTTTTTGGGTTGACTTTGATGGCAAATCATAGTGTACTACCACGCAGGGGTTACAAAGTCAATGAAACAATGAAATGTGAACAAAGTTTATTTATTTTCCAACAACAATCCTCTGTTGATATTCGAGGGAAATATCGGGATTGGAGATTCAAATTCAAATTTTTTGAAAAAAAAAACAATACATCAATATTTGAATACTCGATTTTAACAACAATTTTATTCTTCGACATTCAATAGAAACTAGCTAGGTGTATGAATATTTTGTTGAATGAAAAATATATATAAGTTGGTATTTCAAGAATTTGATTCAAATTCTTGTTTCTCTTGGAATAAAAAAAATAATGGTATTAGACTACAATTCCAAACTGATGGATTGTCATTTCCATTCTCGCTTGAGTGTTTGATATTTTTGAAATTGAAATATTCTGGTCTCTTTTTTTACTTTTGAATTTGTCTTAGATAATGTATATATTTCAAACCCTACGAAATCATCTCTTAATATCTATTTTTAGAAAACGGATTAAAAATGGAACCAGGCAGGCCAAAGCAAAGTTTCCTGTCTACCCCGGTGGATGCAGTAAAAGGTTGAATTTAATTGGAATGGGTTTTCTTGTTGAAACATGAAAGTAAGAAAAGCAATTCCCGTCAAATAGTATTCTCTCAAGTATGTGTGTAGCCTTTGATTTTTGCAATTCCCAAATATGACTAGTTTTGGTTTTAATCATCTGCTTAAGTACAGAACTCTCTCTTTTTCAGCTCAAAAATTTGATATATAATTAGTAATTAAACTACTAATTATAGATTAATTAGATGTTAATTTCAGAATTAAATGATGCATCTAATCTTATATTCTTTGATTGGTCAATAACTCAATTTTGTGTTACAGACAAATATTATATCATACTTTGCGAATTTTTGTCGGTTCGGTGGATTAGTTGAACTTTCATTGCTAATATTTTATGAAATTTTTAAAATTATGAAGGTTCCTTCTTATTTCCTTTGTGAATTTGTGATCAACGTACCAAAATTAAGTAATGCAACAAAGAAAAAGTAATTAATTCTGAACTATGTTTGGTGCCATTTAATAAGTTTTTCAAAGTTAATTCTTTATGTTATTGTTGAAAATTAAAAAAAAAAAGAAATTATAATTTTTATTTTATTTATTTATATATCTATCTATCTAAACAACAAATTGTGCACAAAAAAAGCAACAAATTGTTCTTCCCAAAACATTAATTAAGACATGAGTTATTTTCATATGATGTTGTTATTGAACAGTTGAAGATGCGGAAAATAAATTAATCAATATACAAATATTATTGTTATTTTCATTATAATATATATTTTAAAGTGATGCATCATTTTTTTTTTAATTTTAATACAAAAAGGAAGTTAGTGTAAGAACACTAATGAGCTTAACTAATAGTGAGAGTGGAATCACATCTAAAAATAATTATTATCGAATAATTCGTTTATTTATATTATATATGAAAATTTTATATTATATATTAATATAAAAAATATAAAACAAAGATTTTATTTTTATTAAATCTATATATAATTTTATTAAAAATTTAAATTATGTTATTTTTTAACATTTTTTTATATCATTACACTATATCATATTATAGATTACGATATGTCTTCAATCCAATGTCAAGGCACTCATTAAAAACGTGAAGGCCTTGTTGCTAGTGCCGGATGTTACAGGCCCTTCAAAAGCTGCACTACACCTATAAAGTTTCAAAAGCTGCACTACACAAACCCAGTATCTCCGATCGTCTTATTTCAATATTTGTAATCTTTTTTATTATATTTAAATTATATTTGATATGATATTATAAATGGATAATAAAAAAATTAAGATGGATTCGTTTGACACAATCTATAAATTTCGTACAAAAATTAGAGTCGAATCTTGATCAGTTTGCTTTTCTTTTCTAAGGAATCATGGGAAAATTAAGGTCGATGGTGGAAGGGGACCAAAAACTAATGGTGTGATTATCATCATCCTTGGCACTCAATTTACTCAAATTTCATAGACAATTAAAGGACCGTGAAAAATGTAGGGAGTGAGAATGAAACGTTGAATTTGAAACATGATAAAGTGAGATCAATCGAGTACTGAGTACATCGTCATCATCAGCTAGCATCCTTTTTATCAATATCAAAGTACTGCTTTACATATCACATGTTAGTTAGGAGTTGAAATCTCTTTAATGTTTTCTTCCTGCCGTTGTCCAACATTTACTAATAAGAAATATTTGATTCTCGTTCGCATTTACATTGAGTTTGGTAATTGGGAAAATAAGAGGGAAAGAGGAAGGAAAAACATTTATACCTAATAAGAAATATTTGATTCTCATTTACACTTAGACTATGTTTGGTAAGAGAGAAAAAAAAAGAGAAAGAAAATAGTAGACTTAGTAATTTGAGTATTTGTATTATATAAAATATTAAATTTCGTATATTAATATTATATTTAACATAAAAATTACGTATCATAATTTTCGTCAATATAAAAATATAAAATATATATTTTTTAATTTTGTTAAACCTCTAAAATTTTAAGTTTTATCATCTTCGTATCTCATTTTCATATTATATTCATAATCGTATCGTATTTTAAATTATCATATCTAACAAAAAGAGTGTAATAAAAAACTATCTTCTTAATTTCAGTTTTTTTTTTTTTTTATGTTTCTCCTCCTTCCAAAGAGTAAAAAACTCATTCCATTTAAATTAATAATGTTATCCTTAACCTTTTTTTTTTTTTCTCTCTCTCTCTCTATTATCTTTTATTTTTATTAAATATATACAATTAAAAAATAAATTTTCTTCCTCTCAATTGTAATGTCTTTTTTCACTTTTTTTTTCCTTTTTCTTTCTAATTTTCTTCTTATCAATCATAGTGTTAAAATAAATCAAATGTCAAGATATTTTGATCCCTACCACCTGCTGAAACACATTAAAAAGGATTCGTTTTATAATGTGACTAGCCTTACTTTCGCTTTCTCCACTACTTGGCATGAATCAAGAACCGCCGATGATCAGCCAATCTTAGGCACTGAAGGAGGCGTGTTTATCTTTTTATCATTTCCTAGGGTTGATACAAAAGCACTATAAAAAATATATATAGTCTAGTGCTTTTCATTAATTCACTTTCATTTACTTACATTATTTTTTCCACTGACATGAGACTGAAAAAGCAGCTGCACTCAAGAAAAAAACTATGCGCACATTTTCCACGACAAATATCCATCTGATTAATTAACAGCGATTTCTTTTTCTCATTGACACGTTAAAAACGAAATCCAACATCTAAATTTTTCTTCTCTCAATATCATGAATTAGTATGTTTGTAATTTTAGTACAATTCGAATGCTCGTGTTACATACGATTAGCTTTTAACCCTTTTTTTCTTCCATTTTCCTTTCTTGAAGCTCTTTAACAAACAATTTTAGAGAGAGTTGGAGTCAAATATATAGAGATTTGAAGTCATTGAATCACTGCTCCCATGTCAGCTTCACATGCAACCATGTGCATTTGCACATGTATTTTTCACTGCATCAAGTCTTTTGCGCATCTCAAAGTCCATTTTTCGTACTTTAAATATCATATATATTAATTAATGAAGCATTCATTTCGTGTGAAGCTCCTAAATTTCTATAATTAGAACCCATGTTTGATAACTTTGATTCTACTAATAAATCTATTTAAAGTGGATGATGAGGAAATTAAGATGTGGAAATGAAGATTTGCTCCAATAGTTTAAAGTGAATGATGAAACATATTGGAAACTTTTTGCCAGCATAAACAACGTGAGACAACCATTGCATTTGTTTATTAAAACTTGAAAGCTTGAATAAAAACACGTACAAATGAAAATGTAAACTTAAGGTAGATGAATATGGGGCCAAAAGCTCTATCATTTTCAACGCAGAGACCACCGACCACCGCGGAGAAGGAGAGAGATTTTGACGCGGAGTCCTCTAAAAATAAAATTTTAGAAATAACAAAGCACAGACACAAAACAAAATTTAACTAAAAAAATTTGGAAAATGACTGCATTTGGATTAAGATATGGATGAGTAATATTATATCCATACGTGATCCACATGAGAAGCAGCAGGCTGACTTTCTGTATCAACTAAACTTAATTTGTTTGACATAAAACATACATTAATTTGAATTAGTTGGTCTTAGAAATAGTTAGTCAATGTTTTGCATGTCCTAAAATTTTTTTTTTTTAAATTCATTTGGTATGACTCCTAATTAGGTATAATTTTGTATTAAAATATATTATAAATACCGAAAGTTATAGCTCTTAATTTCTATAGCTTTATGCGTGGAAGTAAGTGAAGGAAGTATGAAAATCAGGTTAGATTTTTGAAAGTGAGAGACATAGTTTGGCTTCAGAAATATGAGCTGGATGTGTTTAATTTTTTGTCGGCAAATTCATGTACGTCCAAATCATATGTGCATGTTTTTTTGGTTTAAGTAATGCAATCACCGACCTTCAGATTTAACTTAATTTTTTTATGTGAAATAATACGTTTTTAATATTGTTTTTTAAAAGCATATTATCTTAAATTAATTTGATATATTCAAGATTTAATTCTCGATACAAAGATTGAATTAAAAAAATATGTAACTTTTCTTTTATACCAATTGAACTGTCCGAAAAAAGTGAAAATTTAAGGTTTTGGTCAACTATAAGGGAAGATACAATTCCAAAAGTTCGTGTGCAGACCGTGGGGCTTGAGAAGAAAAGCAAACAAAAAGAAAAGAAAATTAATAAAAAATTATGTTGCTGCTGTGTAGGAAACAAAGGTTTTAAAATTTTTTTTTATCCAAGTTATTGTTGCTGATGAATTGCGAAGTAATCCCAGAGAAGAGTAAGACCATATATAATGTGTACACATGACTTGGAATAAATCCGCAACAACTGGCTTCCACTTTGATTTTTTTTTTTCTTTTTGATAGTTTCTTGGGCCCTTCGTATCTTCAAAAGTGCAATAGTACGAAAAAAAGTCACAACAATATGCCAAAGAAAATTAGGCTGGAAAAGAATTTTCAGTATCATCTTTGGTTATATATATATATATATCTTTGATTTATGCTGTATATCCTCGAGTCAAGATATTATTCCTCAACTTGGATAAAGTGTACTTCTCTTCTTTTGCCCTTGTTTTTTTTTTATTTTTTTTACTTGTTAAAATGATAGAATAAGATCAATGGTCTATGTGTATTAAACTACGTATGGGTTATATAGTAAAACTCAAAAAAAAAAAAAAATACAAAACTTTATTCAATAAAATCTTATAATCATTTTTAAAAGATGAATTTAAATCTCAATATTTACAAACGTTTTTCTTGACTACGATCTTTTTGTATAAAAATAAAAGAATCCAAATCAAAATTGGTAAAAAGAAAATGACAAAAAGTGAAATTATTTTCCAAAAAAGATATTAAATATGTGGATATATCTCTAATCATATTCAATTTTTTTTTTTTGTTCAAGAAAGGTTAAAGTTTAAGAAAATTTGAAAAAAAAAATTTTACGAAATATTGAGAATTAAACCACAACTTTGCAAAAAACTACTTACGAGAAGAGTTCATAAAATTATTTGAATTAATTTTTAAATTAAAAAAAATCCACTAAAGCGACCCAATATATATTTCATTTCAGAAAAAAAGTAATTTGATGCTGTTTTAAGTTTGAATTTTAAAACGTCGATGCTAATTCCTAGTCTACAATTAATCGTCCACTTTCTATTAAAAAGATATTATATTAGAGAATTGCTAAATTTAAAAGTGAACTATCAATGTTTTTATTACTAAAAATGGCCAAACACTAATTACTATAAATGTTACGTGAAAAAATTGTCCATATAATTATAGTTTGTCCAAAATGCAAAGATATAACTGTATTTCTTATATTGATGCTAAAGAAAAGAAATTTCGTGTTTTAAAAAGCCCAGGGTGTTATAAATAAATCAAATTGAACAAAGCTGAAAATCCAACATCCATAGCGTCCCGTTTGGGCCAAAACCATTCGTCGCCAAATGTGCCCCGTCTTTTTTCCTAAATCCAAGATCCATACCAGTCTTCTGTTTAATTCTCACTTCCCAAGCCCAAGCCAACTATTATTGTGTTAGATTTCCCATTATCGTCGGGAAAAAAAATTAAAGAAAACAAATTTACTCGAGGTAATTAAAATTTCCTTTGGAAAATTTTTTTAATTATTTATTAATAATAATAATAAGAATAAAATAATGAAACAGAGTTTGTAATTTTCCACATTAAACGTTACCAACAAATGTTAGAAAAGGTTACTAGAAAACCTATATAAAGATTATAAAAAATTATAGAATGCATTTCGAAAAGCTTTTAAAGTTATACAAAATATGACAATGATTAAAAAACTTTAAAGTTTATTAAAATATATTAAAAAATTACTAAAAACGCTATAAAGATAATAAAAAAAAATCTTACAATGGTAGCTAAAAATGCTTTAGAGGTTACAAAAATGTTATAATGGTTAAAAAAAACTTTAAATATTAAAAAAATGTTACAATGGTACAATAGAAATCATTAAAAGTTAGAAAAATATTAAAAAATAAAGTCATTTAATTTAATTGATTTTTACAATTATTTAAGATGATATATAATAAATTTTAAGAATTGAATCTCAACATTTTCTCTTACTTTTAAATTATAAGAGCACTTTACTTATAATTTATTTTATTATAATATTATAATTATTTAATCATAATAAAAAATATATAAAAATCTTATAAACGCGAATTTAATATAAAATTTCGATAATTTTCATATAATTTTTGTGATTAATTAATTAATTATAATTATTATAAGAGATATTCTTTCCTCTTGTTTTGTATTAAAAAAATAAAATTAATAGCTAAAAGAACTATAAAGTAGAACCCGACGGCCCCACTTAACTGAAAAAAAAAAAATAGGTCAATGCTTATGTAACAATAAACTAGGCGGTAACTAGGTCAAACATCTTAGTATCCGCAAAACAAGGGCGTTCTCTAATGTACATTCGACATAACATGAGTATTGGAAATTTATTTTTATCAAATCAAATTAACCCAAAATAAAACAACAGAAACGTATGTAATCGAGGGAGATTGTTGAAAATCCATTCCATTTCTTCTCAACTCGGATGCAAAAATAGGTTTTTGTCAGCCCTTCTTGTCTCTCCTGGCCTCTTGAGAGAGACGAGGAGATCAACCAGTTTTGATCATATTTTTTCACGGGTTTCTTGCTCAGAAAGATACATAAAATATATAGGGATTAAAAACCTTAGTTTGAAGCTACTCAAGAACATCTAAAACCACACCAACAAGAAAAAAGAACGTAGAAAACAAGTTGGATCTTCGGTCTTCCATCTTGTGGGTGGTCGTTCGTTTGGTTTCAGCACCAAAAAAGAAGAAAAAAGAAGAAAGATATGTGGACACCAAGAAGTTATGGCGAAAGGAGAGAAGGAACAAATGGGTTGGTGGCAGTGGCCATAGACAAGGACAAAAACAGCCAAAATGCCCTTAAATGGGCAGTTGATCATCTCTTGCAAAAAGGCCAAACCGTCATTCTCATCCATGTGAAACCCAAGACATTCTCTCCCTTTGCCTCGCCTCTCCCTACTCCTCGTACGTTTTTCTTCGACAAGATATCACATTTCTCGTTCGAATGCCAGGGTTACCTCAACTTCTTTTTTTGCTACAGGATTGAACCAATTTTCTGATATCAATGCTGATTTACCGTTGGTATGTAAAGATCCTGATCCTCAGACCAGGGACCTTTTCCTTCCTTTCCGTTGCTTTTGTACGCGTAAAGATGTAAGTTTCCTGGATCTAATTCCCTCTAATAATGATATTAAAAGTTCAGCAATGACTACACGGATTTTTCTTGATCTGCACTAAAATACACCTACCACGGTTTTGCAATACTTGCAGTTTCGTATTCAGCAAATGATTCTTATTCATAAATTACTATTTTTATATGACGTGCTATTTTGACTGAAGATATGCTGCAAAGATATTGTTCTAGAAGAGACAGATGTAGCAAAAGCATTGATTGAATATGTCACTCAGGCTGCCATCGAGGTTTTAGTAGTCGGTGCTTCGGCAAAAACAGGCTTTCTTAGGTATGTGCGTCTTATGCTACATCAGCCCCCCATCAACAAAATTATATTTTCCAAACTATATATGAATGCCAATGATCATTACAATGTCTATGATTCTCTTTGAAATTTCCAAAGAAAACAGTGAATTTGGATATAATAAAATCGATCTACCTAGTCCTACTGAGTGGAGAAAGTAGAGATCGATACAGCCGCAGCCATCTCAGCTAGCATATATATCCAGAGTTCTATGCTTTTGATTTCGACATTATTGGCATTACCTTAGTGCGGACAAGCTATAAATAGAATGTAACCATATTGGTGGTCCTGTCAAAGACAAGCAAACCAGAACGATATTGTTGGTCAATAAGGCAGTATAATATTTCTCATATACTAGGAAGAACACACTGGACTGACATCAGATACTTGAACGAATAAAGTAAAGTATGTTGGTTTATCATCCAAAACCCTGTCTCCCTGGCTATGGGAAACAATGATCATGATTTGCATCAACAACTTCTTTACATTTGTGAATCCATATATATTAATGACGCATACATTTCTGTGGAAGTTCACTTCAGAAAAAGTTTGTCTCTGTAGATTTAAAGCAACAGATATTCCTGGAATGGTATCAAAAAATGCACCAGACTTTTGTAGCGTGTATGTCATATCCAAAAGCAAAATTTCATCCATGCGATCAGCGTCCCGTCCAGCACCAGCAATCTCCCCATTGCGTACTCAGCTTCTTAACCAATCCAGCTCAAAACCAACTCCTCCTGAGTTTCATATCCCACCAGCTAATAGTTTGAGAGGTTTATTTCTTTGCTTCAAGCTTAATTCCAAGTTATCTCTACCATTTGGTCAATCTTGAAATAACCTGTGAATAATCTGAACAGTTGAAAAACAGCGACTTGAACCGCCGCGTAAATCTACCGATTCCATGGAATCCTTCAGGTAAGTAACACCACATAGGTCCACAAAATGACCTATCTTACAAATAAATTTTTTTTTTTTTTTTTTATCTTCCTATATTCAATAATAAATGAAAGAGATGTATTTAGAGCTAATTTTGGATGCAGGTCACCTTTTAGCAGGAGAGGCCTAAACGGGAAATCATATCCGGATCTCCCAATGCCAGATACAGACATATCCTTTGTCAGCTCTGGCAGGCCGAGCATTGACCGTATATTTCCCGCATTCTACGATAGCCAAGATATAAGCCGCACTGCTCCAAGGCTGTCCAACGTTTCAGAAATTGAAAGTAATCTTAGCTTCGAGTCAATGCAGTTTGGACGAAAATCGTTGGAGATTAGCTCTCCACCTGATTTCTCATCATTTTCTCAGGACAGTGACAAAATGTCAAACTCACCTACGTCAGTGGTAAGAAAATAAATGAAATTACTCAAGGAAAGCAAGCAACACAATTGGTTTATAACCAAACATGCATGATACGAGGACGAGCATTTTTTATGCTTAACTATATGCACATATCCACGTATTTTATCTTATTTAGTTAGACCAAAATATTGATCTCAAGACTTCTCTAGCTGTTACTTTCACACAAAAGATAGTGTATTGAACATCTTACATTACATGAACTTTTGGAAATAGTAACATCGATGATTGTTCTATTTTTCGATGACAAATGTAGGATGATGTGGAAGCTGAAATGAGAAGGCTAAAGCTGGAGCTCAAGCAAACTATGGAAATGTACAGTACAGCCTGCAAAGAAGCACTCACGGCAAAGCAGAAGGTTAGAGAATTAAAACATATGCTTACATTGTTACATCCTCAAGTCCTCGACATGCTTTGAAAGGTTATAGAATTCTGTTCGTTACATAACAGGCAAGAGAACTCCAGCTGTGGAAAATGGAAGAGGAGCGGAAATTGGAAGAGGCACGACTTGCCGAGGAAGTTGCATTAGCAATAGCAGAAAAGGAGAAAGCTAGGTCAAAAGCAGCAATTGAGGCAGCTCAAGCAGCTCAGAGAATTGCAGAAATTGAAGCACAAAAAAGAGTTAACGCGGAAATGAAAGCGCTCAAGGAATCAGAGGAGAAGAGAAAGGCACTTGATGCACTAGCAAATTCAGATTTCAGGTACAGGAAGTACACAATAGAGGAAATTGAAGCTGCCACTCAATTCTTTTCACAGAGTCTCAAGATTGGAGAAGGGGGCTATGGGCCTGTGTATAAAGCCCGTCTAGACCATACTCCCGTTGCAATTAAGGTTTTGCGTCCTGATGCAGCTCAAGGAAGGTCACAGTTTCAACAAGAGGTATGTGACATGGTCATAGTGGGCTTCAAAATGTTTGGACTTTTTATATATATGCTTTTGCCTTGTGATATATGGTTAGTTAATCAATGAAACTATGGATAACAATTAATTGACAGGTGGAGGTGTTAAGCTGCATACGACATCCCAACATGGTCCTCCTCTTGGGAGCCTGCCCAGAGTATGGATGCCTAGTGTACGAGTTCATGTCTAATGGGAGCTTAGAGGACCGTCTCTTCAGGAGAGGAAACACTCCACCTCTCTCTTGGCAGCTTAGGTTCAGAATTGCAGCCGAAATTGGAACAGCCTTGTTGTTCCTCCACCAGACAAAACCCGAACCCATAGTCCATCGTGACTTGAAACCAGCCAATATCTTACTTGACCGCAACTTTGTGAGCAAGATTAGTGATGTTGGGTTGGCCAGACTAGTTCCTCCATCCGTGGCTGACAATGTAACGCAGTATCGGATGACTTCCACGGCAGGAACTTTCTGCTACATAGATCCAGAGTACCAGCAGACAGGCATGCTAGGAATAAAGTCAGACATATACTCTTTTGGAATCATGCTTCTACAAATAATAACAGCAAAACCACCAATGGGATTGACTCACCACGTGGAACGTGCTATTGAGAAGGGGACTTTCACTCAAATGCTGGACCCAGCTATTCTTGATTGGCCTGTTCAAGAGGCCATGAGCTTTGCAAAAATTGCACTCAAGTGTTCAGAGCTAAGGCGGAAAGATAGACCTGATCTCGGCAAAGTTGTGTTGCCAGAACTGAACAGATTGAGAGCACTTGCGGAAGAAACCATGCACCCTACTTTGCAGACTGACAGTCCAGAACACTCCCCTAACTATAGCCTAGTTTCGCTACAACTAGTTAGTTGATCAAATTACCCAAGTCCTTTGAATTTCATCTAACGACATCATACATGTAAAACTTGAAACTTAACACTCGATTTGTTTGTTTGTTTGTTTTTGCAGGACCATACCTGTTCTGCACTGTCCGATAATTACTCAAGATGTCCTTCCAACGAGACTTTCTGAGTATTTTCTTGAGAAAAGATTGACCTAACTACTTTAGTTTTTGTACTTAGGTAATCTAAAGTCAAAATATGAATCTTTATACACAAAAAAAAAATGTATTCAAGCTTTTTGTTTACTCCCTTTGTCCCCTCAAAACATGTACGCCATGTTTGGTTGGCATGAATAGACATTCCATTACTGATCTATTTCAGAGGAATGGCTATTCGACCATTTGCTTCACTTGACTAACTATTCGGTGGAATAGCCTATACAAGCCATAATCTTCAAAAAGCTTGAATAGCCATCTGAGGTTCCTGGATCCTGGCTATTCGGTTGCCATAAGGAATAGTCAAAAAAATTTCGCATAACACCTTTTAGCAATTAATGAAATCCCAGTTTAACCTTAAGCCCTTCAATCAAAAAATACCCAACCATATCACTCCGGTGACCATGACTGATAACGCTTTGGCTAGATCAACTCGCTAGAGTCCAGATTCTTTTTCTTGTTCTTTCTCCAGATTTCGGCGAATTTCCGACGAACTTTATTCAAACAAGATCATATTTTGACGTAAGTAGGCCGGATTTCGATCGATGAGCAGTGATCCGACCTTCCAGAGGCCAGACCTGGGCCTCGGTGCGCTGAATCGGCGTCAATGGCTACAAATCCAGTCTGGAACAATCACCTTTCGCGGTCGTAAAAGCCTATCTAGAGTCCAACGGCCTGAATTGGCTGCAGAGATAGCTAGCCCGGTTTTCCGGCTAGCAGTTTCTTGGATCAATCCGAGTTAAAACCAAGGCTGGAATGAAAGAAGAAAAAGAGGGAAATTTTAAATATTTTTGTAAAATTTGAAAATATATTTTATTTTTGTTATAACAATTATTTTTTGAAATATAAATAGAAATGTTTTCTGGCCAAAAAAATTAAGTAAAATACCTATAAAAGCTACCCAATCATGCAATTTAATTCCCACTTCTCAACTACCGCCTGTGTTAGATCTCCCACTTTAGTCAAAAAGGAAAATTAAATAAAACGAATTATAAAAAAATAAAATTAAATAAAACGAATTTATTTGAGGTAAAATATTTTAATTTTGACAAAAAAATAATAATAAAAAACAGAATTTGTAATTTTTCCCGTTAAAGGTAACCTAACAAACCGACTTCGCTTATTTTTTCTTTGATTCTTTATTCCCCTTCCTTCCTCCGCTTGGCTCGCCTAGAAACGGCCGATTCCAAATTGTGCGGCGAATTTCCTGATCTGTCGACACATTCAATTTATCCTGGTAAAAAAAGTTTTATGTCTTTTTGTAGTCACGGAATATAAATAAATGTGTCGATTTCATCTCTTTCTTTAACCTGTTCGAGGAATTTTGACCATTATTTACGTTCAATTTTTGACATCAAATTGTTATTTCTAGGTTATGATGTCAGTTTTATTTTTCTGTTCCTCTATATGAAATTGGGTTACAATTATATATTATTTTCCTAGAATTTCTAATCGATTTTTTTTAATTTTATGAGATTCGTGATGAATTTAGGGTTTCTGTTATTGGAATTTAACTTTGTAGAATCATAATGTTGTCCTTGTCTGAGAATTCATGAATGGTTTGATTGAGTAAGGTTAGATATCTTTTCCCTTACTTGCCCATTTAACTTTAGATATGCCAGAGCAAAATTAAAAAACAGATTTTCTAGGTAAAATAGTACTACATGGACTCTGAATTCTTGCGTGAACTCGGTTTTGCCATTTATGTAAAAATCGAAAACAGGGACATGATTTTGTTGTTAACTTGGTGCTAATTGTCAATTTTATTATGCTTCAAGGAGCTGATATAGACTCTCATTAGAAACCTTTTAATACTCGAGGCATGCTCAAGAAATGGTAATATCTGCCATGGGGTAAATCAGCCATGTTAATGAAGGCTTTGAATTAACATCATCGTCAAATTTGGCTCGGTCTATTCTACATTCGTCTTCATTATTTTCATTTGGGATATTTAAATTAACCCAAAATGTTTTCACTTATTTGGCTGTTTAATTGATTAATCTCCATAGATTTTTCGAAAGATTGATTTGATACTATCATGCTCTCTCTTGTGCAGAATGAGAATTATAGTGTGGATGCATGTTTTGATGTTTTTTTCCTTCTTATTATTGTGATGTCTTTGCAGAATCTTGGGGTGAGGCTGTGATTATTTGGACTGCAGGTCATGTGCCGTCAAAACTCATGCTTGCATTTGTCTGCGGAGGAGTCAGATACAGCTGTAGAGAATCTCTTAGTATATTGCAAGCCTGTTGAGTTGTATAATATTCTTCATCGCCGTTCTTTACACAATGTAATATATGCTTTTCTTTCTGAAAATGTATCTCTTTCTTTGATCTGTTTTAGACTGGGATGCCTTATTTAGATGCTTGTTTTTTGTGTCAAAAAGAACCTACTATTTATGCTATTTGGAAATTCTTGCTCAGGTGTTCATTTTTAGGTCAAACAGATCCTGTAGTTAATCTTTTCGGCGATAAGTCATATAACTGCAAAACCTTAAGTTGGTGATTTGAAGTGGTATAATGCCTCATAGCATGGGTGTGGACTGTTTTTGCTGTATCAGTATACCTTCTAATCGAATCACATTTTCTATTTCAGCCTTCGTTTCTTCGAAGATGTCTGAAATACAAAATACAGGCAAAGCGTAGAAGGAGGTATGAACTTTCCTTTTAACAACTGTGTATTGCTCTCAGAAATAACACTATGAATTTTATTAATCTTATGTCTCTGAACTATGGTATTAATGTATTAATTTTGTTTCAGTTACCGTCTGATTCAGTTTGCTCCTATAGAAAACTTTTAATTTTATAAATATGTAATAATCACAGTACCTGGAAATCCCTCATAGGAACAGCAAGTACAGATCGTTAATGATCCACTAGTAATTTGAGGGGATGATTATCTTGTCTGAGTCAGGATTACATAATTAAAGGCAGACAGATACGGATAACCAATAGGAAATATTGTTTCTCCTCTCTTCTTTCATGCTTCTGAAAAGTGAAAAGTAGCAATATTATTTGATGGTTATTTGATGTTTGAATTAAAGTGGCTTATTTGCAGTCAAAATTTTTCAGTTAAAAGGTAAACTGAATGTTAGTTGGTTTATTGATTAGACTGGGTTCCAAGTTGTAGCTTGATGAATTTGATATGGGGAGTTGGGGAGATTTAGTACTAGAAGAATTATCTTCAGGACAGTTTCAAAATCCTAGAACTCTTCAGATTTTGAAGCATTGCCCTGAATTTTTTGAAGCCATACATAGTAGCATTAGTTGGAAAAAAAGACATGACATTATTATCACAAAATACTAACTAAAGTGGATAGTGATTGCTGTAGTGCTGGTGTATTGCTTCATTAAGCTTCTACTTTATTTCTACAGCTACCAACCTCTTTCTCTGGCAAGGAGGAAAGAAAATTTCTGAATTTCTAACAAACTTATGTTGCTTCTTTATCACTTATTATGTTGTTAACTTACCTAGGATATGTTTGTGTAGGTTGGGGGCTGGAATTGTAATTTTCAACTATAAGGATTATGGCAATATGCTACAAAAGACTGAAGGTATCATGAAAATTTTGCATTATATATCATATTTACTTAATCTTTTTATGCTAAAATTGATTATCTGAGTTCTAATTCCTATCTTCTGTTTAAATCTTTTTAACTTGCAGTTACTGAAGATTTCTCATGTCCATTTTGCTTGATGCAATGTGCTAGTTTTAAGGTGGATATTCATATGCTGTCTTCGCTTAGCTTGGTTGCTTCTTTCATAATTTGATGGGTTAAGTCACATTATATCAAGTTTCAATTTATCTAAGAGAAAACAACAGAAGGGGGTGTTAATGTAAATTTCTTTGCACATGATAAAACAAACTCATTATCAAATGATTTTCATCTTGTATGAATCTTTTTCCAAAATATTGCAATTTGTTGGATTCAGGGATTGTTCTGATTCTTTTGCATTAGAGACTTACTTTCCCTAGTTGAGGTATTCTAATGATTTGAGCCATTGTTTTCTATTGGACATAGATAACTAATTCTATTTTGTGGAGCGAAAAGCTTATTTGATACTTAGCCAACCTTCATTTTTGTTCACAGGGTCTGCGGTATCACTTGTGCTCATCACATGACTTATTCAACTTTGACTTCTGGGTTGGTAGCTGAAATTGTAAAGTCACTTGCCACTCAATTGAGATTTTACAAAAAGACTATTAAAAAGCATTTGTATTATAGGTAACAGAGGAGTATCAAGCAGTGAATGTCTCAGTGAAAATTGATTCATTGATATCCGAGGTAAAAGTGTTCTTCCCATCCAAAAGTACATTAGTATGTTTCGTATATTCCATGTTCCTTCAAGATTCATGTGGAGGTTTAGAATGCAATAAGCAACCATCCTAATCCCATCAAAGATGGTAGGAGAAGAAATCTCTAGAATAAAACTATTTTATTCTTCTATATTTTTCATATTATAGTACTAGAATTGCATGAAAATATATAGGCTAAAGACTGAATATTCTCAGCCTTAAAACCCAAGATTTTCATGCATTAAATCAGCTAATCAAAGGAGAAATTTGCTCCCTACACATAGCAGGAAAATATCTAATGGATTTGGTGTAATTACCCAAATCACTTCTTATTCTAAAAATAAGAGACAACTAAAATAATTAAGTCAACTGATCAAGTAATAATGAAGATTAGATTTCCACACTTCCCCTCAAGCTGGGTGGTAGATGTCAATCATGCTCATTTTGGACTTCGGATTCTTGAAGTTGTTTCGAGAGAGAGCTTTAGTGAGAATGTTTGCAGTTTGGAGGCATGTGGGAGTATAAACTAATCTAACCATTCTTTCCTCTATCTTCTTTTTGATGAAGTGATGATCAATCTCCTCATGTTTAGTCCTATCATGATGAACAAGATTCTTTGCTATACTTATGGCAGCTTTGTTGTCGCAAAATATCTTCGTGGATTCTTCTACAAAGACCTTTAACTCCCTTAGCAATCTTTTTAGCCAAATTCCCTCACATTTTCCGTGAGACATAGCTTTAAACTCAGCTTTCGCGTTACTTCTAGCCACCATAGATTGCTTCTTACAACCAAATTTCCCCGCACATAGGTACAATAACCGGTAGTTGATCTTTGGTCAGTAATAGATCCAACCCAATCAGCATCAATGTAAATTTCAACATTTTCACGTGATGTCTTCTTAAAAAATAAACCTTTGCCGGGACTTTTCTTTAGGTACTGTAAGATTCAATACACAGCCTTCAAGTGTTCTTCGGTTGGGTTGTTCATGAATCTACTTACCATGCTAATCGAAAAACTGATATCTGATCTTGTATGAGAGAGGTAGATGAGTTTCCCAACAATTCTTTGATATATGCCCTTATGTGTTAGTGGACTTCCTTCTTCCATTCCTACCTTATTCATTGTGTCCATAGGGGCGTCAGCAAGTTTGCATCCAAGCATTTCGGTATACTTTAGTAAATCTAGGACATACTTACATCGTGAAACAGAGATGCCATTCTTTGAGCGAGTTACTTCCATGCCAAGAAAATATTTGAGGTGTCCCAAATCATTAATTTCAAATTCTTTGGCTAGGAGGTTTTTTAGGTTGCTAATTTCTTCCACATAGGCTCTAGTAAGAATAATGTCATCCACATAAACAATAAGAATGGCTATTTTTCCTTCAGGTGAATATTTGACAACTATGGTGTGATCGGTCTAGCATTGTGAAGAACGATACTTCTTTACCACTTTTGTTAGTCTATCAAACCATGCTTGTGGAGATTGTTTGAGACTATATAAAGACTTTTGAAGTTTACATGCCTTGCCAAAATTATCTTGGTTTTTGAATCCTTGAGGGATTTTTATGTAAACTTCTTCTTCTAGTTGTCACTAAGAAATGCATTTTTGACATCTAGTTGATGAAGTGGCCAATCTAGATTTGCTACTAATGATAATAACACTCAGATTGAATTAAGTTTAGCAACCGAAGCAAATGTCTCCTCATAGTCAACACCATAAGATTGAGTGAATCCTTTTGCAATAAGGCGAGGTTTGAATCTATTAATACTTCCATCTACATTGTGCTTGACAATAAAAATCCATTTACACCCAACTGGATTTTTCCTTTTGGTATTGTTGAAATCTCCCATGTTTTGTTCCTTTTTTGGGCCCTAATTTCTTCCAAAACAGCCATCTTCCATTTTGGTTGCATGAGTGCTACATGAATATTATTGGGAATATGCATATTGTTTAGTGTGGTAGCAAAAGCTTGATAACTGGGTGATAAACCTTCATAAGAAACCACATTACAGATTGGGTATTGAGTACATGATCTCACACTTTTTCTTAGAGCAATCGGTTAATCAAGATCATCAAAAGATTCAATTGAATTAGATTCAGTAAGAGTGTTACCTGTGTTGGTTTCAAGTATCTCTGGAATCAGTTCAGATTATTGGCTTTGCTTTGAAGGTGTACATTCTCCTAGATCCTTTTGAGTTTTATGTCTTGTTGAATAGACAATCAATTCTTTGTTTGTTTTCCCTTGTGTGGACTTTGGGCTTGGAGGATCTGGTTGGATGTTTTGGACTTGAAAGGGAGTTGGGGAATCTAATTGGATGTTTAAAACTTGAAAGGGAATTGGAGAAGTGTTTGGTGGTTCGGTAATAAGATCTTCCCAAAGTTGATATTCTCGTGTGATTGGATTCTCCTCCTGAATGGCAGTTTTGGGAAAGTAAGGTTGATTTTCAAAAAAGATAACATTCATGGAATGGTAGAATTTCTTTGTTACTAGTGAGTAACACTTGTATCCTTTTTTATTCAGGGAGTATCCAAGAAATATGGATTTGGGATCTAATTTGCTTTGGTTTCGTTGGCTAGTAAGAACAAATGCAATGCATCCAAACACTTCAATGGGAATACATAAGATGATTCAAAGATGAGGATAGGAACTGAGAAGGAATTGGCAAGGGCTTTGAAATTTCAGGACTTGAGAAGGCATTCTGTTTATAAGATATGTAGCGGTAAAAACAACCTCACCCCAAAAATGCTTAGGTACATGGGCAGCCATCATGAAGGATCTAGCAACTTTCAACAAATGTCGATTCTTTTTTTCAGCAATGTCATTTTGCTTAGGAGTATCGACACATGAGCTTTGATGAATTATACCATGCTTCATTGGATATGATCCAAGGATTTAATTGTAGTATTCCCTCCCATTGTCGATTCTCAACCCTTGGATTTTGGTTTTGAATTAAGTTTGGATTATATTGTTGAAGTTTTGGAATAGCTGGCCCACTTTTGGTTTTTCCTTCATAAGGAATACCCAAGTAACCTTGGTGTGATTATCAATAAATGTGACAAACCATCTAGAACTAGTAATGTTATTTACTTTAGAGGGACCTCAAATGTCACTGTGTATCATTGAAAAAGGATGGGACGATTTGTAAGGCTGATTAAGATATGTGGTACGGGTATGTTTGGATAGTTGGCAGACTTCACACTGAAAGTTAGGATTTTTATTTAATAATGAAGGAAACAATCTTAAAAAGTTTGGATAACCTAACCGATAATGCCTCAACATGATAGTACTATCTTTATTTTTACTGAAGGATGAAGCCACACAAAAGGTCTTCTGATATTGTCTTTAAGAATCATTAACTCTTAGGATATAGAGTCCTGCAAACATCTTAACATTACCAATTATCTTCCCTGAATCCAAATCCTGAAATTCACACATATTTGGAAGAAATATAGTAACACACTTAAGGGCTCTTGTAAGTTTGGTTATAGATAGTATATTGTAACTTAGATTTGGGACAAACAAAATAGAATCAAGTGTTATCTCTTTGGAAATAATAACAGAACCTATACCGGTCACTTTTGAAAGTGACTCATCAGCAATTCGAACTGTGAAGTTTTCATGACATGGTTTGTATTTATTGAAGACAGATGTATCCCCAGTCATATGGTCTGAAGTTCCTGAATTCACAATCCATTAATTTGATTTTTCTAGTTTTACACTCAAGGCACTTAGAAAATTACTTTTGTGCTAAAGAATCTATTCCCATAATGCTAGCTTTGGGGTTAGAGGTGACCTTCGACACTGAGCTCTTCTTTCCGCTAGCCATGCTAGACTTCGAGTGAAAAATTTCAAAGGTTTTAAGTGAGACAATGTTAAGTAACCAACTTAAAACCAATTGGCTGTAAGCGGAGAGACCCAACTTGAATATAAGATTATAGTAAATTGAATATTTATTAGATGTGGGATAATCCATTTTAATAGTCCCCCATCACGTGTAAGCAAAGATGGAAGAAGCCTACTACGTGACAGATTTGGAAAGTGCAATGAAAGAAAATCTTGGCTTTGATACCTTGAAAAAATCTCTCGAATAAAACTATTTTATTCTTTTATATTTTTCTTATTACTATACGAAAATTGCATGAAAATATATAGGCTAAAGACTGAATATTCTCAGTGTTAAAACCTAAGATTTTCATGCATTAAAACAGCTAATCAAAGGAGAAATTTACTTTCTACACATAATAGGAAATATTTAATGGATTTGGTGTAATTACCCAAATCACTCCTTAATCTAAAAATAAGAGACTTAACTAAAATAGATAAAATCGACTAATCAAGTAATAATGAAGTTTAGATTTCCACAAGGATTTATTGTAATGTTAGAAATCATGGAAGAAGCGCAAGTAATGTCCGTGGGTTTGGACAGGGATGTTGTTCGTAATTAACAGTTGTTGAAAAATGAAAATAAAATGTGTCTGTTACATGTGGTGCCTTTTTTAAGTTAAACAAAATGAATTGTGACTAGGCCTGTAGCTTTCCCCTATTTTCTATCAAAATGCATAAATGACTTCTTCTCAAACTTTAATATATTGCCAAAATATTCTTGTTACAGACTGTGGCAAGTGGAGTAGATCCACGAGTAGAAACTTTCTGCTTCTGGTAGGATATATTTATTCGGGTACATGTTGCTACTTTCAGCTGCTATCAAATCTGCTTGCTGGTAATAAATACTAGCAGTTGAATGGTAAAATGAATTGCATGTGCAGCTCAAAACCTCAAAAACGTAAGCCTACAAACCCTCTTCAGAGTGGGAAGAATGTCAATGTACAATTTTTGGAGTTGGACTCACCCAAAATGACCAGTGAAAGCAGGCAGAATGGATTTCTGGAGAATGATGATGGTAAATTTTCCAGTAATGCTTGTCATAATATTTTTATCTTTATCTTGACATTTCATGCCCAAGTCTTAGGTAGTCTCTTATAGCATTCTAAATGATTTACATCTTGAAATCACTAATCATTTGGTAACTTATCAGTAAATAATACTAGAACAATGACTCAATAATTATCTTTCTTTGATCTGCCTTTTGAACTCTCTGAAGGTGAGAGGGCTTCCAAATCAATTCCTATTGAGAAAGATTTGCAGAATGGATGGCATGGTGTGGAAAACTATGGTTCTGATTATACTAGTACAACAGAGTGTCTTGCACGGGTTGCGACTAGCTGTGATGGTCCAGGAGTTTCAATTGCAATGGCTCATTCTCCTGTCGACCCTGACTGTATTAAATCATTATCTGGAAGTGATACAGCTGTTCCTCCGGCGAAAACAAGGAAAATAGTGGCAGAACGATCCGAACCTAGGAAGTATGTTCTCCTAGGCTACGTTTTTTCCACAGTTGATTCATTTCATTTTTGTTCTTTCCCTCCTGTTTAATTGTTTATCACACTGCTCAATATGCTTTTCCCTTTTCTTATTTTGTTTCCTAATAGCAATTGTTATCTTTTCAAAATCTCCAAAGTTTAGGCATGCAAGGTAATTTTATTTTTAACTTTTCAAATGTTGTGCTCTCACAGCCGCATGCTCCTGCTGAAACGCCAATTCTTTCACTCACACCGAGTTCAGGTGATTAGTTTTATTTATCTGCTCAGGCTAATTGTGCTATTAGTCTTTTTCATGAACATCCATGACATGAGATCTCCATTTAACACCGATTCAGTTCCATCCATATGAACATGAATGGAAGTAACACCGAGTCAGTTGGCATGCTGTAGAATTGAGAAGCAAATCTGCTCTAACGACAATCTTATCTTGGGTTCAAATGTCATCAGATCTCCATTAACACCAAACTATTCCCAGAAATACATCCAAGAACAAATTTATATTTCATCTGTTAATTTTCTGTTTTGTTTGATGTGACACTTTGGTCAGGGTGAATTATACTCTTTATGCATGAATTTTCCTTGGAAAATCTTTACTTGGGTCTGATTTTTTTTTTTTTTGCATAGTCAGATAGGCAAGTTATGCTTAATATGTTGCTACTTAAAGCTGTTTATCATTCTTATGATTTTTCTCTGTCTATAATATTCTTTCTTGTTAGGCACTGACATGTCTTGTATTGTTTAATTGAAGCCAATGGCATTGGACCAAGTAATGTCAGAGAGAGACAGTGAAGACGAAGTTGATGATGACATTGCAGATCTTGAAGATTGCAGGGTACGGTTTACAATTTGGCATCTAAATTTTTCCTCTCTCTTTTTTTTCCCAATCTTCTCATTGCAATGACAACATTGTTGGTCTAGGTTTTAAATTTTGTGGAAGTTACTTCGAGTTCTTAGCATTTTCCTGATTCTGTGTCTGCAAAATAAGAGTGCAAATTTGGTTTTTCTGGATTCTTGGTCCATGTCATTTATAAATTCAACCATTCAAATCATGATAAGGAAGTAACACCAAGTCAGTTTGCATGCAGTAGAATTGAGAGGCAAATCTGCTCTAACTATTAATGATCTCTTGACATTTGAAAATGATTGTGAAACATTGGATCAGTGGTCAATGGTATAAATATCTTAATTCAGTAATTGAACTGACAAGAAGAAGTGTGGTTTAGCATTCTGAGAGCAAAAGTGTGGAATTAAAAAATAAGAAATGTATTTAAATTACTTGATTTTGGTTGGGGCCTGAGTAACTGGTGAATAAGCATTTATTATTTGGGTTTATAAATCATCGTCAGAGGAAGTAAGTCACTAAATAAATGGTGATCTGTTGGGGCTAGACAATCAATTCTTTTCATTTGTCTCAACTAGTAATAGTTTGCTCAATGTTTGCTTGTATTGCATGAGCATTGCTTTGTTCATAATTGTAAATATAAGTATATAACAACAGTTACCTGAGTGATTATGAGAACATGGGCTTGTTTATCTACTGTTGACTTGTTTGGCTTTCGTCTGGTTTTCTAGAAAGGTGAGAAATTTTGGTTTAGAATGGGGTGTATTATATTTGATTGGACTTTTACTCATTTGGGCTAGGGTCTTAGCCCAAGTTGCATCTTTGATCAGATGTTTTGATTATTCTATTTTTGAGAAGTGAGAGGATAACATAAAAATGATATTTGACAGATGCTTGATGATTTTGTGGATGTTAGCAAAGATGAGAAGCAACTTATGCATCTTTGGAACTCGTTTGTTAGAAAGCAAAGGTAGTCTGTCCTTAACACTTCAAGCTTGCTTTCCTTTTCTTCTTGCCAATTGACTTCATGATTATCATTTTTTCCCTTTCAATATTTCTGTTAATTTGTTCTCTCTAATTGTTGTATGTCAAGAAGTTATAAGAAGATTCTAGGATTTGAGGTGGCACCACTTAATGCTGGTTTCTTGTGGTCTTGTTTTGTGATAAAAGGTCTCTTGATTCATTTGACAGGGTTCTGGCTGATGGTCATGTTTCCTGGGCATGCGAGGCTTTCTCTAAACTCCATGGGCCAGAGTTGGTCCAATCACCTGCTCTCTTTTGGTAATGTTCTTTTAGATTTTTTTTCCCATTTCTCTACGAGTTTGTCTTTAGACTGCTAAAGTTGTATTTCGCCACCAATAGAGATAGCCACTAATTGAGTCATATAGCTTTGAGCTGACTATTCATTCACAGATAAAGACAAGAGCTAACTGTAAACAGGCCATGCCCACACAGAGTATAGGCTTGTTGAAGTGTTTCAATTAATTAACAGATAGTCAAAAGATTAACTAACGTAAAGGGTATATATTGAAAATGCATTTTGAACCCTTTTATAACCAATAGGAATACTGCAGGTTTGATACTTTTTAAAAATTGTAAAACTGTGTTTGAAATGTATACTCTAATTAAAAATAATTGGATACTGTTGTCATCTTTTGTCTCCATATTTGAAATGTCACATAGTTTCTGGTTCAGGTGTTGGAGGTTATTCATGATCAAACTTTGGAATCATGGTCTTCTTGATGCCTGCGCAATGAACAACTCTAGCATGATACTTCAAAGATGCCAAAACGAGGGATTGGATGCATTGAAAAGCTGAAATATTATGAACATTGTACACAACTTCAGCATCTGGTTTAGAGATGATACAGTGTATGCACATCGGTTTTCTCCGATTGTGATCCATTCATTCCTTTTTCATTCTTTCTATCACAAATTTCTTCTATTTGGCCGGAATTGGTTTGCAAATATTCTTTCTCGAGGTAACTGAATGCTTCCTTCTCATTGTTGTAACAGCAATACCTTATTCAATACTGGCCATAGGTTCACTTTTTTAAGTTAAAGACTTTAATGGATTTCAGTAGACTTGATAATTCGTGTATTTACATTGTATTCATGTTATGTTGTGTCAAACACATGTAAAAACATGAAAAATTATTGTGTCAAATTCGTGTTGACATGTCTAACACAAAATACTCTTTTTTTGTTGAATACAGATATAATTTTTATTAAAATTTTAAATCGTATTCTTTTTATGTTTTTTTTTTTATCATTTTTGTATCGTATTTAAAATTATTAGGTTTAAATTTCAATCTCTTTGTTTATGCTCTGATTATGTTTGTTCCTTTTTCATAGTCAATGTTCACTGATCGCATGCAAATTCATTCTTCTATTAGCCGTTTTCCTTCCCTGGGCAGGTTTTGATGGGGGACATGTTTAGCTTGAATTAGATTAAATTGTTTCTAAACCAATATTTAATGTGTTTTCCTGTTATATTGCACTTGTAATAACCTGAACTGGATGGATTGAGAATCGGACATCTAACTGGTTCGACGATCTGTCTGGTTACTGAAACAGGGAATAAAGAGTACCAAGCTATTAAAGAGAAAGTGTCGAACTATGTTCATTGAAAGTTGTTTCCGGCCCTTTGGATCAATAATGCCCCAATTTTAATTCACTTTTTAACGAGACAAATTAATCTCATATTTTGTTTCCATTTTTTGACAAGACAAATTTAATACTAATAATTAATATAAATATACCAATATTAAAACATCCACTAATTATACTTTAATTACCGTTTTCATTATGACATCAAATTCCTTAATTATACCTTTATCAATTTATTAAATTAGTAACTGTACGTCCTCCTTTGATTTTTTACTTAATTATTTCCATATATTAACTGGGAATTATTTTCTAACTTCCAAGATTTTCAGCCATAACCAAAAAAAAAATGATTAAACTATAATTAGTCATATAATCTATTAATATATAAAACGCATAACCATATAGAAATCCAGAAATAAATAAAGGGAAAAAGTCTACGACAAGTACCAAACAACAAAATCGTATGAAAGATTTTCAGCCATAACAGATTATGTTCCAAGTTGACCCTTATTTGCTTTCCCCTCATGTCTTGGACAAAATCAACAGCCAAACAGGCAAGAGAATCCTCTTCCTCCTAGAAACTGTGTTGAAACAAGCGCTGTGGTTGTGATTTAGAGAACCCCATTGGTTTCAGGAGGACCCATGTTCAAGTCAGGAAGCATCACCAAGTTTTTATGTAGTTTTACTACTGTCCTAGGGAACATCACCATATTGTACTGGCTTAACTCCTTTTTCAGGCGGTCCTCTTCGATGCGGGAGAAGAAATACTTTCGAATCCACATTCCTACAAGTTGATTGACTGATGGAATCACCAGCTTCTCAACTTTTAGAGCACAAAGAGCCTGAATATCAAGCGTATTATCAGCAGCATTTCAATTGATTAGCACTGATGCGATGAAAATCGTTCAATTTAACTAAATATATATATGCTTACAGATTCAACACAGTTTTCCAGGATTCGAGCCATCCCCAGACGCCTGTATTCCCCACGGGTTCCAATGAAGGGCATCTCAGCTAACCTTTCTCCGTGCACCCTGGAAAAGCAGTAAGTGAAGTTAAATGGAATGAATGCCATGTTAAAGGCACGCGGACAAGCTATTAGAATTAGACATATCTTCTATATTTGAGAAAGAAACACCTTATTGATGCAACACAGATGATTTCATCATTCTTTTCCAGGACAGCAGTATAAAAGCCACTATAATTGATACGGGTCAAATTGGACCTGAAAATGTTCGGAGAAATTAAAACTAATCTACTAATCCTGTCAAAATCTCTGATTACAATTCTGTTGGTACTTGATATATATAGTCAGGCAGTATATTGCCATGATTTAGGAACTGCTTTAAAGAGTTTCAAAAGGGGTTTTGAACTGATTACCCGCGATTGTACACGATGCTTTGGACAATATTGGCTCTTGTATGGCGGTCTATGGTTGACAAGAAACATTCGTTCATTACCAGCCACGCCACAGCAATCTTGGAGTTGTTTTGTACTCTGTTGTACACATCATCTGCGTAGGAATCAAATGGCTTCTCTGAACGTTGGAGCAGAGTCCAACAAAGGCCATCTTGAAGTTCATTTCTAACTCCAAGCATCCTCTGTAACCCTTCATATATCTTTTGTGAATTTCAAGCTAGTTGTTATTTCCAATATCATCATCTCCAAAAAAATTATGGTAAAATTCCAACAAAATCATGGGGAAAAATGGATAGCTTTTTCAAATTGATGACAAATACCTTTCTGCAACTGCTTCCACAGAATAATGAGGCTGGAGAATTCATCAGGTCCAACATTTCTCCTCCACACTTGCAATGATCTGTAAATTGGTTTCAAGTTATTAAGCAGAAACAAGCAGCTACTGGAAATTCTTAAAATTGAATTCCCTTCATAAAATGGGGTTAAAATTGAGTAATACATACATAGTTTTTCACATAGGGTGCACTTCTTTAAAAGCCCATCCCCAATGCCACAGTATTTGCAGACACAATATGGACATAGCCAATCACCTTGGGGAATGGTCTGCAGTCCCAATTCCAAAAACAAATAGTATTAATTACTAAAATCAAATGAAATACCAATTCCTGAAACCAAAAAAAAAAAAGTATATTCAGCAAATTCTTCTTATTACCTCCATGAAAATGCACTTGGGATGAAATGTTGAAGGGCATCTTTCACAGCAAATCAAATCCCCTCCATCAGCACAAATCATACAGGCATCATCACTTTTATCATCAGCTATTGGTGGAGGCTGTATGTCGTTGTATGTAGGTTTTTCTTCTTCCTTCCTCACTTCCCATGCTTCTTTTTGGCACTCCAACAGCGAAAGCTGTGAACCTGCTAAATATATATGCTCATAGGGCTTTCCGGTTGGACTTCCGGAATGAAGCTCAAACTCTCCGACTGTCATCTGACGACCACAACAACTGCATAAAATGCCCTCCTTATTGACTTTGCCTTCTCCCAGTATATTTCTAGCCTCTGCATCAACGTACCAGACTACTTCATTTTCTTCAACTACGCCCAAGCTTATCAACCAAGACAACACTGTTCTCTTTGTTATCTTATCTTCAGGCATTTGAGAAAAATTCGTTCTTTTCCTCCTTCTATGTCTCTCTATGCTGCCTTGCCTGTCTTCTTGCCCATTAGCCCTTGCCTTTGGGGGTCGTCCTGGTCGCCTTCTCCCCACAATCCCAGTTATATTCCTGAGAGACCTTGCAGCCCCAGAATATGCACCAGCACTCCTTTGCATTGTATCAGAAGATGGTCTAACATTGTTCTGGTTTGGCCTTCTTGGCGGCCTAGGCGGCCTCACATAGTCAGGGTCAGAATGAGTGGAATCATGGCTTTCATTGTCCGAACCACTCGACCCCAAATAAGTACCCCTGGTATTCAACAAGTTCCTGTTCCTCAAATTATAAGCCATTGTCTTTGGAAACCTTGAAATTGCTCTATGATTACCTGTTTGATTTGTAACTGAAATGAAGAAAACTTGACTGAAAATAGCAACCATGTGAGAACAAAAACTGGCTCAATTTGCTTGCAAAAAAAGTATCAAATTCAAGTTTGTCCCTTATTATAATGCTTGATTTGTTTCCATTTCAAACTTTATTTTGGGAGTTATTATCTTCTTCTCTTTGATGTGATTAAAATTTATAGTGCTATGAACAAATCTCAAATATCTTTGGAAGCATAATATCAAGAGGAACATAATAGAATTAAAGAAAACAGCTTGCCTTTCCCTTTTGCATATTAGTAACTGTATAAACTGTTGGTTAGTATTTGTTAAACAGGCCGTATCTTTTCTTCTCTATTTATTTATTTATTTTATCTTAGGGTTATATCACATGCTGTAATTTTAGCCTAATGTCTTTACGTGTTTTAGGGTTTTATACCCTGCAAGTAAGTTAACATATATGCATGGCAAATAGAACAAAAATGCAATCATAATTTCAATATAGTGAACATCAAACTATTAAATCTATGCAAATTTCTACAATTATTTTTTAAAAGACATCATAGCACGAGCATAAAAAAAAAATTATTGTAAGAACTATATTTGAATCTTAAGCTTAAATTTACTGAATAACACCTCTTAAAAATAAGTATATAAATCAACTAAACTAAATTTAAAGTTCAAATTCTATAATCATTTTAATATTCACTCTAAATTAATAGTTTTCAAAATTATATACGGAGGAAAATCAATTTACACAAAAAAAAATTTTTACATCTTTTTTGAGTAATTAATTTTAATAATTTCAATAAACAAAATTATTTTCTTTGACTTTTATTTATCATCTTTTGAAATAAACACTAAGTACTTGAATTTTGTTATTTTCATTTGATCATTTAGTGAGGAACAAACAAACAAACAAACCAATTTTTTTTACATAATTTGTCAAGTCTTGTATTTTCAAAAAGGAAACTTATAAAATCTATCTAATTGATTGAACTTAAAGCAAAAGAATATTATTTTATGGCATCAATTTTTTTTGTTTTTACAATCATGACATGATTTAATGTTTGGTACAAAATAATTTCACGACAATTTCTTTTTGTAAAAAATTTGTGAGACCCAAATATAGGTTTGACATGAAGGTACTAAATCCATGCAGATATAAAGACAACCACCCTAAAATCCCGACCTTTTTATCTGTGGTAAGAAAAAAAAAAAAGAAAAAACACAATTCCCGACCTTTTATGAGGATATTATATTCTTTCTTAAAAAAAAAAACTATTTATTATTTTCTTTTAGTTTTAAAACCGTGCTCAAAATTCAAGTGGAGAAATTCTATAGGAACTAGCAAAACACAAAGAAAATAAAAAAGAATATAGAACATAATAAGTAATTAAGCACTTTTTTCCCTTTTAGTTGTTTTTTTTTTTTTTGGGGGGGGGGGGTGTTGGAACACCAACCATTACTAGATCTATTCAATTTTGCAAATACAAATTTAAAAACTTTACTCGTAAAGACCATAAATCCTTATACATGGTGAGTTAAACAAGTAATAATAAATTTTGTTTTAATTGCAAAAGTAAGAGAGTATACCTATGATTTTTTTGAAATGAATCCTTGATCTAGATTTTGATATGTACGCGATTCTCTTCAAACGTCTGTGCCTGATGATTAAGATAAATGATTAGCATATTCTTCGAACACCTTAATTTACAATTGAAATTTGTCAAAAACAAAAATATTTCAAAATGAATATCAATTAAAATTGATGAGAATGATAAAATTATATACATTCAAATATTCAGAAGGCGTTTTACCTTTACGGCGAAAATTGATTTAGGGTTTAGAAGGTTATCACTTATAAGCCAAAACTGCGTAGTTGCTTGGTCAGTGAAAGACAACACGAGGCAATAATATTACACTGCATGCAATTATATATCGCAAAGTGTTTCACTATGATAAATGATTAGGGATGTTTATTTTACCCATACCCAATTGAGAATTCGACTTTTTATCCGAATGGAGATGGGGTTGGGTATTATATGGTGGGGATGAAGATCGGGATAGGTAAGATTTTAAATTTTTATTGGATATGAGGATGAGGACACGCAATATAGTACCCGCCCCATGCCTATAACCTATATATATTTTTATATATCTAGTAAATAAATATTTTTATTAAACAATGTAAATTATTATTTTAGATAAATTAAAATTAATATATTTTTTTTGAAAAAATATAAATTAATATATATTTAAAAAAATTACTTAAACATATAAGATAAAAATAAAAGCAAGTTAAGAAAATAAATTTTGTTTTTATTTAAAAAAAAAACTATGGGTATGGAGATCAACCATACCATTAAATATTCATAGGGATGGAGATGAAAATAAATTTAAAAAATTCTTTAAGTATGAATACGGAGATGAATATAATAAAAAAAATATAAAGACAATAAGGGAGAATGTTTTACCCTACCCATTAACATCCCTATAAAGGACAAAAAAATTACAAAATTTTTTTCTTAATAATTTTTTTTCAAAATATTCACCGGTTTTATAAAAAATATTGTCGTTGTCTATAAATAAGTATAAATTATTAAAAAAATTAAAAAAAAGTTATAACTTGTATACATTTAACATTTTTCTCTGCAACTGTGAAAACTTTTACTAGTATGGAAAGTGAATTCAATTTTTTTTGGCTTTTCTTCTAAACTAAATGTGGACAAATATGTTTTAATATTTTTTTATTTAAAATGGTATTAGCCGGTTGGAATCAATTTTATTTTCCATCTATAGAATTATCAATAAATCTGTTGCCATAATAGATTTTCCATGTATGGAAAATTTTAAATTTTACCATGGAATTTTCATTGTAGCATGCATTGGTGTTTGGTGAAACCATGTTTTAATTTTATTTTTGACACTTAAACTCTTTGAAAAAATCTTTTATTAAAAGACTTGTTTTCAATTTTGAAATGTTTTATTAGAACTTTTAAGGTTGAAAATAAAAATTATATGTGGTTTTGCATTCTATAAAGTCTATAGGATGTCAAAACATGAGTTGTCTTGGTTGATATGCATCAAGATTGACATGCTTGGTTGATATTGTCATTTTTACTTTAAATATTGATTAATCGACCCAACCAAAAGTTATGAAAATAATTCCATAACATGAACATGAAATGATTTGGTTCAAGCTCGAATTTCATTATCATTCACTTGCAAAGTAGTATGAAATACAAAATTAATATATTAAAAATTTGAAAAATTTATCTAACTCACCCAATTTAATTTAAATTGATTTTAAAAAAAATTCAACAATCTAAATCCAATTTAGGTAGAATTTGTCAACTAGGACAGCTCTAAATTTGAAACAATCCAACATGAATCAGACTCTAACATGTTTTAATATTGTCTTGTAAAAAATTATCATTTGTTATTATATTTTTATAGTTTTTTTTTTTAATGGATTGTTTGCCAAATGGTATGTTCATGTGTCATTTGCCCTTTTACATGCTTTTGTACAAATAATGATATTTATTTTTTTTGTCTTTTGGAAGCAAAAGGTGAAATCTTTTTATTTTTTCCAATAAAAAATCTTTTAGTTTTGAAAAACATAATACTAGCTTTTAGAAACTTGTCAACCCTATGATTGTAGAGATGTCAAATTTAATTATTCTCTATGTAAAATTGAAAATTCATATGCAAATGTTGCTATTAGTCTATCCATTTTTATTCCTTATTTATCCAAACTTTGATATGTAATAAGTTTACCTTAATGATGTAATAACCTTTATATATACCACAAAAATTCCTTTAATAATTTGCATGTTTTTTCAATAAAAAGAAAAAGTTTAAAATCTAATACTACTGTTAACGAAAATTGATTGAATTATAAAACTTGATATTTTATTTATAAGATTTAGATTTATTTCCATTGTTATCAATTATTTTTTATGGATAATTTATTAATTTAATGTAAATTCTTTTTTAAATTTGTGACATATCCTGATTTTAAAATAAGTAGTCTAAAATATATATTTTTTGTACAAAACAAATCAAATTTAAAGATATTAAAATTTGAATATCAAGCTCGTTAAATGTTATTTTTTAAAATAATTGCACCGATCAATGAAGCTAAACTTCCAATTCAAAATTATTACATGTATAAAAATTTAAAGCTCAATTATATTAGACGTTACCTTTTAATGGTAACAGTCCTAGGTGTATAGTATAGAAATTTGAGTGACGCCCAAACAGAGACTAAAAAGAGAAGGCGGCAAGAAAAATCCCGGGAAATTTGAAAACTAAAAAAAAAAAAGGAGAAAAGGGGAGACCATTTACATTGACATTTACTTAGGCGTTGCTTCTTTTCAAGAAAGAGAAAAGGGAAGAGTTTTAATGGAGGATTTTAATTCTGAGGTATGGATGAATTTTCTTTTCAACCAATTTCCGGAATTTCCAATCCATAGCAAATCAAATTCTCTGTTTGATTAAAAAGAAAATGTAGGAAAATAAATGGAAACTGGGTATTGTAAAGTTCCAAAAGTTAACTTTTTTTTGCTGTGAAATTCATTTTTCTAACCCATTATTTATTTATATGTTATCGTAGATTTCTTGTTCTTCATGCTCCATTCCTTCTGGTTAGTATGTCTTATCTCCAAACTTCAATTTTGAATTTTTTAGTATTTGATTTCATCCAAGAACGAGAAAATATAATACTTTTTTTAATGAATCAGAGCCTCCTGATATAAGGAACTGGTTTTCAAGTTACAAGTATGAATCTTTTGTCTTGGATACATGCGAAAATTTCGGAGGAATTTTTTCAGAAGAAAGGAAAATGGACAAAGATGAGTTCGCAATTGGAGAAATTCGCATAGAAAAAGAAGAGAACTTTGATGGATTTGAAGAAATTAGAAAGGTTGATGAACATGGGAACTTGATTTCTATGGAGGTAACATTTTTTTCTTTTGATTTTCTATTTTGTTTTCTGGGAAAATCTGGGTTTGGGTTTTCTTGAATAGTGTAGAGCTCACAGTTTCTTTTATCTTACAAGTTTTGATTTTTGGTAGGTTCAAGATTCTTTGAGCTCCCCCTCAATCCTTTCTGGTATGTCTCACCTTTTTTTTTTTTGTTTCTTTTTTTGAGATTTTACCCAGTATAGGTAACGTTTAATGGCTGAAAAACTTTTAGTGAAGGAAATTAAGACTAGGAGTTGGATACAATGCTTAAATTAAGCATGTAAAAGTAGAGTGAAAATTTTATCTATTTTTCATGTTCTTTTAGAGCCTCCTGATGTCAGGAACTGGTTTTCAAGCTATGTGTACGAGTCTCCTTTGTTGGATACCGGTGATGGTTTCAAAAGTTATGCTTCTAAAGAAAGTGAATGTGAGAAAGATGGAATTGTCGTTGGAGAAAGCATCAAAGATGAAGTAGCAAATTTGGGTCAATTTCAAGAAACAAAGAACAGTTGCAAACAGGATGCCTCTGACAAGACATGCTCAACAAAATTGTTCAAATGCAGCAGTTATTTAGTAGATAGGAAGAATGAATCACACCCTCTATTTTCTGGTTAATATCACTTCTAAACTCTTCAATTTTCTCTTTTCTTATCAAATAAGGTATGTGAATATCTAATCGAAGTAAATGAATTGTTTGTGTTTCTTCTGTCAGAACCTCCTGATATTGGAAATTGGTTCCCAGACTATGCGTATGAGTCTCCTATCTTGGATACAAATGATGAATTTAAAGATACTCTTTCTATAGAAAGAGAAACTAGTGAGGATGAATTTGCTGTTGAACTTGAAGACAGCAAGAGAGAGAAACAAGAGGATTTCAAGAAAACAACTAAAACTAGATTTAGAAATGAAGTGGTTGTTGGTAAGATGTGCTCAAATGAGTCTGGGAAATGTAACATCCCTCTTAGACATGATAAGCAAGAAAATAAGTCTATCTGTAAGGTACTCTTTACATCTTCCTGCGTGATTCTTTCTCTTTAGTTCTTCCTCTCCTTTCCTAGTTTGATCTCTTGAATTTTCTCAAATAAACGTATCAATTTCTCTTCCAAGGCCTTAACAAAGGAACAAGTTTATGACCTCAGTTTTCATCTTGTGGCTAGTTAAAGTGGTTCTAAGATCCAATGATTGAGACCCTTGAGTATAGTTATTCATTATTCAGTGTTGGGGAATTTTGGTTTTTCTTAAGGAGGCATGAGTATAATGTCAAGTTGTTATTACAGGACTTTCACCAAGCTGGAGGAAGGGGAGACCTTACTTTGCAGGGTGATTTGCGTTTTGACAAGATTTTGGAAGCAAGCTTGGAAGTCAAAGAAGTGCGAATTAGTAGCAGCAGCAATTCAAAGGAAGGGGTTGAACACTCAGGCTTAAATGGTGGAGATTCCATGTCTAAACTTGAGAGAGCTGATTCCATATCTATCACCAGAAATCCTGGCAAAAATTATAGAAAATCTTCAAACAAGTTGATTGACAGGAGGGTTAGCATAGAAAAGAGCTCAGAAACTAAAGTCCAAACAGACAAAGTTGATCTTGCATCACATGATCAAAGTCTGTACATCGGTCAGGACAGCGGAGATTATCTGAGAAAACCAGCTCATGGAAGCAATGACAAAGAAAATGAAGGAAAAGAAATTACAGAAAATGGTTTTATCACTACAAGGAAGAACAAATTTATAGGAACAAATGATGAAAACTCTGTGAGAGTACCAGGAGGATTTCTGGTACAGTGTTCAAGAAATAAAGGTAGTAATAATACAATCGGTGGTGAAAAGGATAGTGTTGTGAAAAGAGAGGTTTTGTCTGAAACAACCAATGTTCAGCACTATGAGGCAAAGGCAATGGGGATCACTGGAAAATGGCGTTGTCCCCAGAAAAGCAAGCTTCCCAGTGGCCCTCCTTTGAAGCAGCTTCGACTTGAGCAATGGATTCGCAGGGTGTGACCGTGACCATGTGAAAAGGCTCATCTGCATAAATCTTGACCAATGCGAAGGAAAAATCTTGTATCATCGACTTGTCAATGTGAATTGAAAGTCGATTTCGTATAATTCATTTCTTAAATAGTGATTAACCTGCATTTCTACCTACTCAGAATCTGTGGTAACCAGTTTTTGAAGTGATGGCAAGTTTTCATGCTTAGAAAATGAAAATAACTAGTACTTTTTTTAATTAGAAAAGAGAATTTTATTCTTTTGAGTAAATTGTCATCTATTAATTTTTTAATCAAATGTTGGAATATATAAGAATTACTATGTATCAACTATTGTATCAAGCATTTGACTGTATAAAATTACTACTTTGTACGTTACAGTCTTAAATAAACCAAAGGCATTTCATTTTAAAGTTTTGATTACTTAAAGTTTTTTCCAATTGTTTAAAAAAAATCAGAATATATAATATATATTTATATATCCTAACCTATAAATATAAAAGATTAATGTCAAAAATAATTTTTAAATTATAATTAAATGCCTAATATAATATTTAAAAATATATAATATGGTATCTAAATTAAATATTTCATTATAATTTAAGGGTTATTTATGATATTAATCTAAAATAAATAAGAGGTTTTTATTTTTGATTAGTGGTTATATTAATAAATAAATTTAAGTGATGTTTGGTATTTAAGATAATAGATAGAATAAAATGATAATCATTTTATATTATATTTAATTTGTATCTAAATAACAAAAATAAGATTATCAAAAAGATTAATTATCCTCTTGATATAAGATAATTTAATTCTTATAATATAAAATAATTATTTTTAATTCATGAAATTAAATTTATATATTTTATTATCTTTTAAAAATTATATTAATAATTTAAATAATATAAATTTTTTAAAAAAATAAATTTAATAAATAAATAAATTATCTTATTTTAATCCTTACATATATTAAATATAAAATAAAATAATATTATTTAATTTAATTATATTTATAATACCATCTTATTTTATTCGTTCGGAACCTATTCCTAGTTTATTTGATTTTCTGCGCCTTTATTTCTAAAATGCGTTGAATTGAACCGGTGCGTTTCACTGCCATGACCGTTTGCGACTATCCTGAATGCTGAGTCCGAGACTCAACAGACGAATCTACCCCCAAGTCGCCCGCTTGACGAAGCAAAATTTGCTTCTGAGTTCTGATAAGAAACAAAGCAAAAAGGGGGGAAAATGGCAGTTTTAACTGTACTAACAAGATCGATAGGGCAACACTGCCTAAAAAGATCGAAACCTTCTATCATCCCTCAAAATTTTCCTTCTCATAATTCTCGGTTCCAAACACTCAGAACTCTGATTTTGGAACCCTCTTTATCCGAATCCGTCAAGCTCCACCGTCTCTCCGACTCCGATTCCGGTATTATTTTCCTTTTTTAAGAAACTCTTTTTTTTTTAGCTTTATTTTGATGTCGTGCTTAAGTAATCTCAAAAACTCAAATTTTAAGTACAATTAACAGGAATTATTGAGGTTACTTTGGATAGGCCTGAAGCCAAAAATGCTATTGGGAATGATATGTTGGGAGGCTTACGCCATGCCTTTGAAGCTATTGATACAGATTCCTCTGCTCATGTAGTTCTGATCTCTAGCTCAGTTCCTAAGGTTTTCTGCGCTGGCGCTGATTTAAAGGTAAATTCGCTTTCTTTAGTTGTTTCTTTGACTACCGCAATTTCTTCTTTTGGCTTCTGAAGGTTAAAAAAAAAAAATCTAAATTTTTATGGAAAAGTGAAATTTTTGACTTCATTTCAAATTTTAACTGATAATGTGGTTTTTAGAAGTAATGATGAGGAAATTCCCTGCTTGGAAATGGTATTAAAAGGTTAAGCTTGTGATAAAATATTGTGGGTTTCATATGTTGTTATTAGATGTTAAGCTTGTGATAAGTTTGTCTGGCCTTTGATTGGTAGGAACGAAAGAAGATGACTGCTTCTGAGGTTCATTCATATGTCAACCACTTGCGATCCACTTTCTCGTTAATAGAGGTTGGTCCTCATTAGTTATTATACACCAACATGTTTTATGATGGTTGATTGCCTTGCTGTCACATTGATATTGAAATTATGTGAGCATGATACATTGTGAGTAACAGCTAAACTAGCTATAGATATGCACATTTTTTTAACATGAAAGTAAATGTTAGGTGTCCTTGATGTGCTCTTAAACAAATTTTCTAGTTTCCCAATATTGTTCTTCCTAAAGCAGGGTCTGGAGTTCAATCATTTAACGATGTTGCATAAAGTGTTAACAAAGACTTTATAAAATGATGGCAAAGGAACTTATTTTTAACTGGATAATGCCCCTATTTTTATAAAGTTTTCTTCTTAAGTAATGCTGTTATAGTTTTTGCCACATGGTTTGCAATGTCCTTTTTTTAGATTGGGTGCTTACATGAACTACTATTTATTCTAGTTCAGGAACTTCAAATTCCTACTATTGCTGTTATTGAAGGTGCAGCATTGGGTGGAGGACTTGAAATGGCTCTGTCATGTGATCTTAGGATCTGCGGTAGTTTTATATTGCTAATCCTTTCATAATTAGCTTTAATAGCTTCTAAAGTGTTTGGTCACATGGTTTTTAAATTTTTTTCCCTTAAAATTGTTTTTAATGGATTTTTCTTTAAAATTGCTTAGAGGAAAATGCATTTTTGGGTTTGCCTGAAACAGGACTTGCCATAATTCCTGGGTATGTGCTAAATCTTGTTTCCTATATTGTCCTTTATGTTTATTACCTAATCAGTTTTTTTTTGAGTAAAGTCTGTAAGGTGATAGCTTATTAGCCCTATATTTAACAGTGCAGGTGGGACTCAAAGACTTCCTAGATTGGTTGGAAAATCAATAGCAAAGGAACTTATTTTTACCGGCCGGAGAATTGGTGGCAGGGATGCAATATCTATGGGTATGCATACCAACAAGCTGCTTTTTCCCCTCCTATGTTTTCTACGCTTTTTTTTCCCTCTCAAGTTCTAAACAATGTCTGATATTTGCAGGTCTTGTCAATTACTGTGTTCCTGCTGGTGAGGCTTATCCCAAAGCTTTAGAAATTGCGCGGGAAATAAATCAGAAGGTAAATTTTATGCATCTTCAAAATTTTCTTGCTTGGAAGTTCAAGTGGTATATTCATTTATAGGTTCATTCAAATTAAACATCCATGAATATTAGTTAAGTTTATCAGAAATGCAACGGCTGCAATTCTAATGTGTTATTGCACTGAGGATTTTATTGTTTGTATTTGTTGCTAGATTGCTGGTACTATAGTTTTGTTCCACTAATTGCCCTCCCTTGTTATTAATTTAAAGAAGAGTGCAGAACATCTCTTTAACTTTAGAATTCTAGGCTCTAGCTGCTGGCCAAAGTCTGTTTGATAATGCTGACCTCTCATTTTATTCGAAAAGAGAACTTTGTTACCCTATACAAATTCTCGAAAATTCAAATGGACATATTGTTAACAGGGTCCAATAGCTATAAGGATGGCAAAAAGGGCTATCAACGAGGGGCTTGAGAGAGATATAGCTTCGGCTTTCGATTTAGAAGAAGAGTGCTATGAACGGATTTTGAATACAAAGGATCGCTTGGAAGGCTTGGCAGCTTTTGCTGAGAAGCGGAAGCCCAGATATACTGGTGAATAAGAAAGACCTGGACTATTACTAAATAACAGCTTCCAAACAACTTTATTTCTTATAAATGTTTTCGATTTGTTTTAAATTCGGACCTTCGAGAAGTCTGTATGTTGGATGAACTCTTTATTCTAACTAAAATATAAAAAATAAATTGCATGCCAAAGTCAGTTCTATAGTTGTTTGAATTTTCTGTATGATAAGCAGCCTTTTTCATTATGATAGCTGTTTCAGAGATCCAAATCCTCACTTTCCAAAACCCTAATTTTATTTCATTCACAAAAGGTATAAAAGAGTAAATTATGTAAAAGCTCAAGCAAAAGCATTAGAGTCTTAGCAGTTAATATTGCCATATTAACTGATTATAGACAACTAGAAAAATACTGCTTGTATTATAAACAAGCTATTCAGTTTGCTGTAGCGTGCAATAGATTGTGGTATTGATGAATGCTGAAGATGGTCTCCTGTAGCAGTTAAAATGGCAATTTTGGAGTTCGATGAATCCCCTTGATGTGTTCTAACATTACTGGAAAGTAGATTGAACAAAAAAATGTTTGTTCCCAAATTAGGAAGAGAGAAATGTAATCAAACAGCCTTTTGTTATAGACTACTGATCTTGGGTCAACAGAAGGAAATAAACATATGAAGTGGCCTAAGTCAATTTCTACTTTTCCATCACATTATGCCAGGTATGGAATTTTTATCTTCTATCATAACTGTAGTTTACAAAATTGTCATGTTTTTAGCATAAGCACCAAGTTTGGCTTCAAGAATTAAAAGCTAAAAGTCATTTAGAAAACTGTCCTTTATTCACTGGGTGAGAATTTGATAATTATACATGAATGAACTGATTCAGATGACAATGGACAGTTCAGTGACAACCCTCACCCAGTAATAACTGTTCTGTGTTTCCAATTACAATGTCGATGTGAAAGATCATTAGAGTATAGCCTCAACTTGTTTTGTACTTTCCATTCTTGTTAATGTCTGAAGTTCTTGATAGGAAAGTCAGTGACTGCTATTAGTTACCATAACAGAATCACCTTTGATGGGTTTTCCAGTCCACAGTTACCATAAACAACCATAACCAACCCTTTGTGTGTTGGATTTGTAAAAGTTGCTGTTCTTGGAAGTGATTTCTGCTTATAAATGGCAGCAGCCCAATGGTTTTTTCACTATAAACCCTCGTCTCTCAGTGTGTTTTCATTTCAAACAAGTCTATATAAGGAGAGAGGGAGTCAGATCAGATTCAAGAAAAGACATGGTAGGAAGTTCAAACTCAAACAAAAATATAATTAGAAGCAGATGCAGCAGCGACAGGAAGTCCGCAAGATTCAGAGGGGTGCATCCACTGAACAATCGTAAATGGGGTGCACGGATATCCATCAAGTACAAGGCATACTGGCTTGGAACATACCAAATGGAGGAGGAAGCAGCAATTGCTTATGACAGAGCAGCCCTCAAGTTGCAAAGAAATGAGTCTCCCCTCAACTTCCCCTGGAAAATCTACACAACTCAGGAGAAATTATTCCAGAGTTGGTACTCAATTCAGGAGATCCTGACTATGATTAGGGATAAAACATATTCATCTACCTTTACCAGTTTCCTTGCTCGGCAATCCCTTGCAAGTAGAAGTATAGCTGGCGGCCAAATAAATGCAAAGGGAACCTCATACCAGTTGTTATTTCATAAGAAACTGACACAGACAGATGTTATTCACATCAAGGGGTTTCACATCCCAAGGGATTACGCGTTGCAGTACTTGCCCTCACTTGGGAACAGTTCAGATGGAGGTCAAATGGGCAGTGGCTCGATTGATTTAACTTTCTACGACAAATATTGTCGTTCCTGGAGTTTCCGATATTCATATTGTAGTAGTACCAAGACCTTTTTGTTCACAAGAGGCTGGAGATCCTTTGTTGCAATGAATAACTTGAATCCGGGAGACACCATCATGTTTTATGGATGTGAACACGTAGAGGCAGGACAAAAGAGAAAGTCTTACATGTTAGATGTACATCGAAATGTTGCAGAAAGTTACATTGTTGGCAGGTATGCAGAAGAAGGAATTGGTGCATATGTTGATGGCATTAGAGGAGTGGAGAAAAATAATGGGGTTAAGCTTTTTGGAGTCAAAATAGGTTAAAATCTACAAAAACAAATATCATCAATCCCTTTGGTCTCATGGTATTCTTGTTCCTTTACTTTTTTCAAGTACTTGGTTGGATTAATTGCTTTTCTTATGATTGCATTTGATATATGCAAACTACTACATTTTTTTCAGAGTTCTAATGCGATGGAACCCCTTCTTACAATGCATTTAAAGGGAGTCTAAGTATATGAACATAGGGATTAATTTTGAAGTTTGGAGACTAAAACATATGCAACTCAAACTTTAAGGACATGGGTGTAAATAACCCTCCCATTTTCATGTTGATCGTATTTGAAACCCAAAGCAACAGAAGAGAAAAGAAGAGAAGAAAACAAAGCTAAAGAAACTAAACAGGAAGGAAAGCAAAATCCTGAATCATAATTATTTTCTTAAAACAGGATGCAGCCAAGGTCATGAAGGGCATGATCCAGAAAAATCCGGAGTCACTCAGCTTCAATGTGATTTCACTAAGAAAGTGGCTGCTGCAACTTCAACTTCCATACAAAATGATTAGATTCTAAATGTATAGTCACCTTGACGTAGCCTGTTACCTTTTCCCATTATCAGAGGCCCATTATAATACCCATTTCTTCCTATCTTTTCCTATCATCTTAGACCCATTATTAAACTATTTTGCTTGTATGGATTATGCATTCTTAAGCTATTCTTAAGCTGTTAAGAGTTAATACTTGGTGAGACGAGAGGATCAGATCAATGGTCCAAAGTTTGGGAGGATTGATTCTCATCCTCAGTTACTTTTTCTCCCCATTTCCTTCTGTTTCACTTCCTTCACCTCATAAAATATGTTCTTGCTCAAATTTTCTACTTGAAAAGGCCGTAATAAACTTTCTTCTCAAGTCAACAAATTTTCATTTAATTAAATCCATGTAGAAAAGTTCAAATATTACTCAACCTAAGCTATTTTCAATTCAGACCTAAGATTCATATCACATATATTATTAATTGTACTTTTCATCACGAGCAATCCTGTAGGTCGGCAATTTAAAAGAAAAGTTTGAAACTCAACAAGAAAACATTAATTTTTTTCGTAAGTTAAAAGAAAAGTTTGAAATGTAGACGATGTCAAAAGTCAAATTTTCAATGTCAAAAGCCACTGATACACAGGTTAAACCTCCTACTTGATCTGATCGTCATTAGTCACGATTGTCTTCAACCGCGCTCGTGTGCGGCGTTTTTCCTCGAGGTTGACGCAACCTTATTTTATTTTTTGAATTTAATAATTTAAAACATAATATAAAATAATCTATAAATTATTCAACTAAATGTTTTTGGCGATGTGTTTAATTTCTTATGTCACATACGTGAACATAAATTATTCAATATATACTAAAATTTTGAATTAATATAAGCAAAAATGGACATTTCCTTTGTTTTTAATGTTGGTTTTACTTGTCTTTATGATATCAATTTTAGATCCATGAACACATTCCAATTCCTTTATTTATTGCATTATACCTTCAATAATGATTAATTACTATATATTTTATTGCGTGGATCAGCTAATTAGCTATAAAAAATTCAAAATTTACTTTTTTAAAAGAAAATAATCTATCAATTATTAAACTAAATGTTCTTGTTAATTAGTGTGTACGCATGTTTTTTAATTGTCCAAATTAAAAAATTTGTTGTTTATTAAATTGGAAAAAGTATTTTGCATTTTCCTTATATTCAAAAAGTAAAGAAGAACGCACACAAAATTTCGAATTGTACTTGCACAAAACTCCTCACCAAATAAGGAAAAAAGGAAAGAAATCATTGCTGTTAATTATATTTTAGTATCAATGTATTGTTTAGTATACTTTAGTAATGTTAAAATATGACATTTTTAAGGGTATCAAATTTAGTATTAAATAATATTGATTATTTTTATTTATTTTGATCGATTTTTAGGAATTTTGATAAAAATATCTTAGCTAGGATGATATATAAATATAAAATATATTTTGTAATTCTTAATTTATTTTTAATTATTTAATTAGTTTTAACTAAATAAAAATAAAACTAATAATAAAATAATCCTTAATAGATTTCTATATTTTTTACAACAATTATTTTTTTTACATTTTATTTTTTCAAATCAAAATTTATAAGTATTTCAATATTTTTAAAGAAAACAATTATACTCTTTCTTTAAAGTTTAACAAAACTAAAGTTAAAATAATTTATTATTTATTATTTTATCTTAATATATTTTTATATAAAATAATTTTTATTTAAATATCATATGATTAAGTTAAATATTTAAAAATATCATAATAAATTGATGATATTATTTGTTATATTTTTATATTTATTTATTTAGTTTTTTTAAGATATTATATATTTATTTTACATATTATTAATAATATTATTATATATAAATTGAAGTATATTTAAATATATTTGTATTAAATCAAAATTTTCGAAATATTATATCAAAATAATTAATATCAATATATATATCTAAAAAATTAAAATATTATGCGATTAGGGACGCAGAGAAAGAAAGATGTCGACGTTGGATACAAGGAAAAACGAGTAGGCCCAACCAGCTGTTGGCTGGCCGGGCAGGCCAGTCTGGATTAAGGTTTGTCAGCTTCAAGTCGCCAAGTCACCACACGCAAACGTTTCTAGCCAAGACGCCCCTCCTTTTGGCACTTTTTAACCGTCTTTCAAATTTTTGAAATCGATGTCTCTTAATAAGCTTTGCAACAGAAAATACTTTTCATGCTTAAATAATTTTGAAACAATTTTGATTTTTCAATTAATTCAATTCAATAATTTAATTAACTAAAATTTTAATTATAAAATTAAAAATAATGAAATAGATCATTTCATTTTATAAATTTTTAATGTTTTTAATTTAATATTTAAATATTTTATTAGACAAATTTTTAATGTTCAAAAAGTAAAGAAGAATGCACATAAAAATTTGAATTGCACTTGCAAAAAACTCATCACCAAAAAGGATCATTGTTATTAATTTTATTTTAATATCAATCGTATTACTTGATATGTTTCAATAACGTTAAAATATGATACATTTAAGGATTGGTTGTTTTTATTGGTTTTGATAAATTTTGTAAAATACCTTATTTTGGATAATACGTAAATGTAAAATATGTTTTATAATTTTTAGTTTATCTTTTGTTGTTTAATTATTTTTAATTTAATAAAAAATAAAATAATCTTAAAAAATAAATTTTTTTATTTTTTACTACAATTTATTTTCTTTTACATTTTATTTTTTCAAACCAAAATATATAATTACTAGCTTGTGACTCGTGCGATGCACAAATTAATTTTATTTATTTAAATATTTATAAATACATAAATTAATATTATTTAATTTACATTTTTAAAGTATATATAAAATACATATAACAGTTAGTTACAATATGATCGTCGTTTTGATTTATAGAGATTGAATTATTACTAATTTTGAATTAAAAACTTAAAAGAATTTAATAATAATGGTAATTACTATATATTTTTTATATATATTTTTACTGGCTAATTTTCATTTAATGTAAAAATAACATAAACATGTTAAATAAAAATTAAAAAAATTTTCATTTTTCTAAAAAGAATAAAAAATTGTATGATTCATGACTTGTTAATTTAATAGCACTTTAATAGGAATATCCACAAGTGCCTACTTCTCTCTCAAGCTTTACTACAATATTAGACCAGAAGTATTTATTAGCATACTTTATGCATTGGTTCAATTAAACCTCAAACAACTTCAATTAATACCAGTCGCATTAACAACTTCTTTCTCCAGAAATTTACAGTGAAATTTTTCGCAAGAACCCAAATTGGAGACCGACATAATACCAAGAAAGAGTCCTAGTTGACACCTAAATAATCATCTCATCAATAAGTTCAACCAGCCAATCCTTCCATCCAATACTTCAGCTACCTACTTTCTCAATTTTTCACTCTCAAAGAACTGCAAAAATTAATGTTGAATTAAGTATGTTAAGTGTAGAATATTGGGAACGAACACTCAAACCAGAATCTTGGCTAAAGCAGCACTAAAGCTATCAACTTTGATCTAAAGCTTTATCCAATATCAACCAATCTGGTTTAACTCAAGCCTAATCTAAGTTTCAATCATGTTGACATTAAAAAAAGAACATCTTTTCATCAAATAGAGTCCCTTTAACAAAATTATTTATTTAATTCATCAACATGTACAAACATGGTACAATTACAGACTGTCAAAAGATCAAGTGCTAAACTGAAAAGAATCACCTGATTCAAGACTTCAAATCACATCAAAATCAAACTTAAAACAATCAACAAATTAGATGAAAAAAAAAAAAAACCAATTTTACCAGGACAGATGACCTTTGGAAACAAAACGTTGAAAGGAAGAAGAGATAGCTTTGGAGGTTCTTGAAAGTGCAACAGGGTCAGTATCAAGGAGCCAAACATGGAGACCATGCATGCCAGAACCCATTTGCCCATTGCCCATCACCTCTAAACTCTTTGTCTTAGCCATTTTTTCTTCCCTACAAACAAACCCTAGATTGTCACTTCCAAGACAAAAAAAAAAATAAGTAGATTGGCAGTGTACTGCAGGTGCCTCTAAGGCGCGTAAGAGAATTAGGCACTTGTGGGAGACAAATTAAAAATAGGAGAATCTAGCTTGAGAAATTGAAAACATTTTAAAATTACGCATGTAGAACAGTCTCTTCACAACTATGGCATCTTCGGCATTCTGCATTGTTCATGATTTGTTTCATCCTCAGAGTTCCAAAAATCGATAGCAGCTCACGAGTTAATCTTCATCCAAATATTTTTATTTTATTTGATAATCGAGTGCTCAATAACTAATTCCATACATCCTGACTCTCCATCGTTTCAGCCTCGTCTACTGTTCTTTAATCATTTCCACTGCTCCATCCTTTCATACCCAGAAGATGGACACGTTCCTCATAGTGTACTGTTTTTCTTTTGTGTAGTTCCATATTTGTACATCTAGGCAATCAACCAAGCCGATTGGAATCACCTTAATTTCATTTTTTGTTTCAGTGGAAAAGAGGTCCAACAGTTGATCCTCAAGATGTTAGTAAATTTATTTCTAAATGAAAGGTTTATCCGATTGGTTTATTGAATGTGATGAGGGATGAGGTGATACATGAGATAAGAGAATTTTATTTGAATTTAAATTGATTTTTATTTAAATTTTAAAATTTTTGGATAATTTAATAATTTTTTAAATATATCTTTTAATAAATAATTTAAAATTAATTAATATCTTATGTGTTATTAAAAAAAAATTTAAGAGATTTTTTTTGCGTTGAAAAAAGAAGATGCTCATACAAACATGATTTTATCTGATAATTATGTATGTTGTAATATAATATATATATATATATATTTATATATAATTTCAATCTCTTTTCAATAAAATAATTGTACTATCTCTATAAAATTTAATAATATTAAAGTTAAAATTAATTTTTTTCATTTTTTTGTTTTTATATTAATATATTTTTATATGAAATTTTTTTATCTAAATATCATATGATTAAATTTAGTATTTAAAATATCATAATAAAATGATAATATTATTTGTTATACTTTTTAATTTATTCATTTAATTTTCTAAGATATTATATATTTATTTTACATATCATTAATAGTATTATTATATATAAATTTATGTATATTTATAAATAAATTTATATTAAATCAAAATTTTCGAAACAATATATCAAAATAATTAATATCAATATACATATTTTAAAAAAAATTAAAATATTGTGCGATTTAATATCAACAATAACATTCTTAGGAGGGACCCAGAGAAAGCAAGATGTCGACATTGGTTTTAAAGAAAGCCGAGTAGGCCCAACCAGCTGTTGGGTGTTAGGGCAGGCCAGTCTGGATTACTATTTGTCAGCTTCAAGTCGGTAAGGTACCACACGCAAACGTTTGCAGGCAAGGCGCCCCTCTCTGGCCCTTTTTAACCCATCTTTCAATTTTTTGAAATCGATGTCGCTTAATAGGCTTTGCAACAGAAAATATTTTTCATACTTAAATCGTTTGTATTTCGATTTTAATTAAATTAATTCATAAATTGATTTAATTTAATTAATTGATAAATTATTAAATTAATTCTTAAATAATTTTGATTTTTCAATTAATTCAATTTAATAATTTAATTAACTAAAATTTTAATTAAAATTTAAAAAACTTAAACATAAAATTAAAAATAACGAAATAAATCATTTCATTTTATAATTATTTAATGTTTTTTATTTAATATTTTGTTAGAAAAATTTATTTAATTTATTTTAAATATGATAAATTAAAATTTTAGAATATAATTAATTAAATATATTTTATTATTCAATTAATTAAAAAATTAATTAAATTAAGTAGCATTTCTAAACATCGAAGGGCTATTTTTCTTTATAAAAAATAGATCAAAAATGCCTTTAAACGTCCCTATTCCAAGCACAGCGTTATGTTAATACCATTTTTAAGAAAGAAACAAAAAAATAATTCGCATTCAACAGAACTTCCATGAAATAATAACAAATGCTTTGTATTCACAAAGCCAAACAATCTCTCTAATTTCAACCCCTTCACTTTTCTTTTCTTTTTTTTTTTTTAATTTTTTTTAATTTTTTAAATGTTTAAAAAATTGAGGGAATGTCGATAAGCTTGCTGCTGCTCACTAATAGCTGTTCGCCATGTGTACACGATCCAACTTGATACTTAACATCCGGTCCAGAATCCATATCTAACCCGGCTTTAGCCACAACCGGAGCCGGTGCAGTAACCTTTCTCCTCCTTTTCGGCGATCCATTCTCCAAGCTGGAAGACGAAGACGTAGACGGCACAGGTGATGCCCTCTTTGACGTTACCCTTACCGGATCAGGCTCCCCAGAATTCACCCTCAACGGAAAATTCAACAAAGCCCTCGAGCCACGCATCCTATAAGCTGCTTTATCATAAGCCAAAGCCGCATCCTCAGCCGTCTCGAAAGTACCTAACCAAACCCGAGCCCCATTTTTAGCCGGGTCCCTAATCTCTGCCGCGAACTTGCCCCACGGCCTTTGCCTTACTCCCCTATAATGCTTCCCTTTAGCCGGAACCACCGCGGGAATCGCCTTCTCCGCCGCCGTAGCAACCTTTTTCACCGGTGTCTCCATTAAAATCTCTTGGGGTTCCGGTTTGATCGGGGCAATATTCGTGGAAGAGTTATAGGATGGGGCCCAGCCGACGGATAAAGCATCTCGGAGGAAACCGAAAACGAGCATGTCTTCAGAATCGTTTTCTTTGAGTGGGAGGTCACCCCAGGTATCAGTCAAACAAGGGTACAAGCGACTAAAGCTTGAGCTCCTGCAAAACATGGGGGGAGCCGCGTTCGTACAATCAGTGGAAGTAGTGAGTCGAAAGTCTGATGATTCGTCGAGTAAGTATCGCCGAATTGAGTCCAGCGTCGCCAAATCGGAATCATTTGTACTTGGGTACATTTCCATAACGAGAACTGTCAACTGAAATTTCAAATTTCAGGTTAAGTAAGTTAGTAATTTTCGTGTTTGGGATTTTTAATTTTGTAAGAAAGAAGAAAAGATTAGAGAGGAATTCTGACAAGTCTGAATCTTTGCGTGGCAAGGGGAAAGTTGCTTATATAGGAAAATAGATACATGCACTTGAGCAGGCGGATTTTTGTTTAATTTTTTTATGAATAATGGTGGGGTTTATTTTATTTTTTTAATTTTTAAATTTGTTTTGTTTTTTTTTTTTCTTCATACTTTGTGGAACGAGTTTCTTTGAAACTTCATTTTGGACACGTGATTTCTAATTTTGGATTTGTTGGTTGCTTGCGAGGAGATGAGGTCATTCAGTTGACAAGAGCAAACAGTTGCTCGTCTGTAAGCATGTCTTATTGCCGACTTGTTTTTGTTGTCCGGCTGACAATCGCCGAGCATAATTTCATCGAAATTTCAATTTCTTTTTCTGCCTTTTATTTTCTTTTAATTGTCCAATATTTTTTTCTATTTTATTTCTTGGTGTAATGATGTTCTTCTCCCTTTTTTATTTTTTTTCTTCTTCTTTGTTTTAATCTTGAGTTAAAAACTATTAGATTTGACGTGGGATACATGAAGTTACCATGATATTTTTCTTAAACTTTTCTCTTTTTCTTAATAATAATAAATAAATTCATTAAATTCTAAATTGCACAATGAAAACCAATCATTTTTTATTTATTAAATTTAACTCATTTTAAAATTAAATGTAACACTTTTAACGTTTAAGTTAAAAAAAAAAAAAGAGGAAGACTGCGTTTTCGTGTCCAAATCAGATACATTGGTCCTAGACATGTATCACAAAAATAATTCTAAAAAAAAATAATGTAAATGATGATAATAACCTTCGGATAAGTCTTGCATAAAGTCAATAATCCATTAAAGATGTTATGGGATGGACCCACTATCCCTCAATTGGCACCCCCCCTTTTTTTGTTTTTTTGTTTTTCTTTAATGTTCCTCCAAGGAAGGTGAGTATAAAGTGCCACACTAAAATACTCTTTCTTGAATCTTAATTCGCCTTCTTAGTTAGCATTGATTAATTAAATTAATATATCACTACTAAAGATCTATATATATGCCTTTTATTACTTTTTCAAAAAATATACTTAGATTGATTTTTTTTTTAACAAAAAAAACACTAATCTGAAAATTGAAAAAAATATATAAATATTAAAATTTAAAATTATTAAATATTAATTTTAAAAAATTGACATGAATCAAGTAAATTGTGAGTGTTATAACAATGTATTCATATACATACATACATACATACATATATATATATATATATATATATTGCCAAAGTATCCTATTTAGTCTAAAAAAGGGAAAATCCTTCTTTAAATTTACTCTTGGCCAAGCTAGCTAGTAGCTACCATAAATCTATATTTCGAATTTATTGTATAATTAATTAATTATAATTTAAAGTGATGTGAAATTTATTAAAAATTTATGTGAATCTTATACTAATAAATAATAAATCTTTACATAAATTATTATTATAATTAAATAATTATAACATTATAATAAAAAATTATAGATAATATGCTCTATATTTCAACTAAGGGAGATCCTTGTTTTCCTTCGAGCAACGGCCAGCCATTTCATAAAAACAAGAAGTAAAACCTTTGATATTGACCAATATTGGTCATATATGACTTTGACAGAAGAAAAATATATTTTCCATTATCCCCACCCCCCCCCCCCCCCCCCCCCCCCCAAAAAAAAAAAAACCTTAACAGCAGTGCACCAGGTCACAACATGCTTATCATCAGCACCTGTGCATTTCGACCGCAATGTTTGAGTCTTCAAATTTTGTCTATAAAACGACAAAAACTGTCTTACGAAACAATAGTAATCAATGCTATAAAACTTTGAAGAAAACAAGAAAAATGAAGGAGCTTTTCTACAAGGGGCTGCATGCATGGGACCATCTCATGCTCCTGTTTTTTTTTTTTTTAATATCAAGAATTTGTTGTTGAATTGAATTCCAATCAAAAATTTTGACCTTAAGTTCTTGTATTCAATCATCAAGCTGCAAATTCTTTGTGTTTTTTTAGAAGCAAGTTGCATATTCTTTTTCATATAATATTACGGCTTCTAACGATGGTTGGCATTAATATTTAAGATTGAGTTTTACACTTTGATCTTAGCAATTATCAATCTATTGTATTTTGCAAAATACGTTAGTTATAACAAAAATATGAATAAAATATCTTTATTTAAATATATATATATATATAATCGCATGATTTGTTAATAAAATTTTTTTTTCAATAATTAAGATTTAAATTTGATAATTTCAAATAAATAGACGTGAATGTGTGATATACTTGAAAAATATTTTTCTTTTATATAGTATAATCTAGCCAAGGGATTAATGACAAATCAATTAAATTTATTAATTAACATATGTATTTTAGTAAGAATATAAGGATCATTTGATTAATTATGTAATTTTTAGGTGTGAATTAATGATTTAGTTATTAGATTAATGAAGCCTTTGTCATGTTATCATATATTAACAGATCGAGCGGATCTTAATATTGAAAAAAATAACAATAAACGGTCAATTTTGAAGATTGAACAAGTGAAAAGTAGCGAAAAAGCACCTGTTAGGAGTTGATTAAGCCAACTTTACAAAATAAAAAGGGATTACAGCATCCGTATCGAATCTATGATCTCAATTTTTGCGGCTTGGGGAAGTTAGGGAGCTTCGAATTTCAAACCCATATCGATGCCAATAAATATTAAAAAATGAACACCCACCAACCCATGACTTACAATTATTAGTACCGTATGGATAGAAAGGCATAAAACTATAGAATTTGGCCATGCCAATTTGCCAATTACTCAGTCATTTCTTGTACTAATTTCCAAATCGAGCTTTTATTTACAAATTCACATTAGACAGCACACAATGTTAATTAAAAAAAAAAGATCAATATTTGAATAATGATTAAATTTTTTTAATTTAATTAATTTATATAGTTCATATTTTAAAAAAAGATGAGATTTGATTGGTGCGATTAATGTTGTTGCTCTATATTTCTTAATTAAAAAAATAAATAAATAAATAAACTATTTTCAAGTTTCCAACTGCCAGTCTATCAAAAAATACAACACGGCAGCAAGTGGGTCACGATTATTGAAAAAGGGCCATATTTGAGAATTATCTTTTTTTTTTTTTTTAGTATGGTAGAAATAATAGTAGTACTTCTTTTTTTTTAAATTCAAAACCATTTGTTTGGAGGCAAAAAGCCTTCAAACATCCGTATGGAATCTGTGCTCTTCTATATGTATATATGTTCTCAAAGTTTTGTTACTTTCAAACATTGATGATAAGGGATGACAAAAAAATTGTCGTACCAAAGAAAAAAAAAAGATGATAAAGATGATGCATCCTGAAATAATAATTTAAATATTATCATTATCAACATGTTGTACAACTTGGTTACTAAAATGATATTGCAACTTTTCAGATAATGCTTTAAAATCGAAGGAGGAGGTTTTGTTAAGTTTTGAGGAAGATAAATAAATAAATATATATAATTAAAAAATTTTATATTTTTTTAATCATTAATTTTAATAAATTTAAATGTTTAGGTTAAATTATTTTTTTATTTTGTACTTATTTTTGTTATCTTTTATATTTATTAAAATCAATAATTAAAAAAATATTTTTTTATTTACATAATATAAATTCGTCCTTTCTCGACGAGTAGCTTTAAGTGAAGATATTTTCTGAGATTAATGGATAGTCATCAAATTAATAATGTGTTGGGAAATTGACATTTCAACCGTTAAACTGAGACATTGAAGACAATAGTTAGTGTGGTAGATTCTCAAGTTCTAGTCACCCACGAAAAAACCACCGCCATCCATGTGCTTTTTATTTTCTTTTAATCTTCTGTTCTACTACTACTTTTCCCTTCAAGAAATCGTTGCCTTTGATATTCCAATTACGTTTTTTACCTTACAAGAGCAATTTGGCTAGCCATGTTTTTCACAAAAATACATGATGACAATTATTCAAATATTAGCTGTCTGCAGGGTTTTCTTTTTGGGAATTGATGATTATGAAAGGAGTTTGGGTAAATATCAAAATTTTCTTTTGATTTTTAAGATTTGGATTACTTAATTTGAAACCAAGGCTTTATTAGTTCAATCAAAGTTTGATTGAATGGACATAAATTTGATCTCGGGGAGCAACAATCAAATGGTTATCATTTTTTTGTCAACAAAACACGTTTGAATTTGCCCGCAAAACAAGAAAATTATATAAGGTATGATGTGAAAGAACGGTGTGAAAGGAATTTAATTAATTTTTCTTTCTGTACTTTTTTCTCAACGGATTCAAGAGCCCCAGGCTGAAGAGTTCAATGGAGTTGGAGAGTGTCGTAGCAAACAGGAGGATCATGATTATGTGGTCACTAGAAACAGTTTTTCATTTCGAAAGCTACAGTTCAACGAATGATAGATATAAAAAATTGACATCTTGCCTACTTTGGAAGCTTTTCATGATGGGACAATTCACAAATTTCTGACACACAGATCAGCAGGAATTTCTACCACATTCTTTCAATCTCTTCTATTTTTTACGGAGGTTTTCCAATTTGTGAATAAGTTATTCTATTCATGTTTTGCATTTTTTTTTTTTTTTGCTCTGCTTTCCTTTCCATTCCTTCGTCTTTAACAAAGCAATAAAACTAGTGGAGGATGGTAGACAGAACTGAAGTTATCCATTGCAGTTGCTGATAATTCTGCAGAAAATTTGTTTTCATAATCTGGATGTGCAGAAGATTAAAATATAAATGGAGTATTAACTATAGAAAGAAAAGAAATTAGCTGGGTTTTTCGTTATAATTAAGATGAGATCTCCATAATAAATTTTGATGTCATGTCACCAGATTTTGTGGCATGAAAAGGATGCATTAAATCTATAGGCCTTGTGCCCTTGTAACAAATGCCAGATAATCATAATCCTAAAAGAGAATTTGCCAGAGATTTCATCATGATTTGAGAATTTACTACTTTCCAATTTCAGACGTGAGAGGATGTGAAAGCAACTGTTTAAAATGCTTGGCTTGGTGTTGACTGGTAAGTCTGTCATTAGTGTAAGGAAGCTGACCTTAGGCCTTTTGCTATTG